TGAGCGCAAGCGCGATGGTTGGGGGGGAATGGACTTCATCAGCCCTTTCATCGGAGAAACGAGGTTTTGCTGAGATTGAAACACGTCTATCACTTGTCACCGACACACCGATGTACCGATGCACTGCCCAACACAGCATAGCCCAACGACCCCCACGATGTTTTACTACCAAATAATGCCCTCTGAGACCTCAAATGTCTAGAAATCTTCCAGATCGACGTCTTACCTAGGTAGGTACCTAGTAAGGTCTCAATCGGTAGTCTGCTCGGAAAGGCTACGTCTCACCCAGCTTATCACCAACGAAGGACATTGGTCTAATAGAGATCAGTACACCCCCGCTCACCGACAGATAGCCTCATTAAACGGCGATAAACTTGCGTTTTACCTTGGACACATTCGACGATTCCGAATCGCATCACCACGAGGACAAATCACGGCGTCCTTTGCTCAAACAGGATGTTGAAGGAACAAAGTCATTCCTAAACATGATACCATATTCTCGGGAAGAGGGTCTAGGGCTCCAGCGTGGGATCGCTTCCATCAAATATGGCAAGTCGTGAAAGCTTTGTGTGGCCCCTTGCTTAGGCCCATGTCCGGGTACTGATACCCGGCTCGTGCTAATGAGTGCTATTCGCATACGGTTACTCCATACGCGCCTCGGCGTCTTTCTGGAATTAATTCTCGAACGAGCTAGCTACCTAATCCGGTCTGCTCGGCGTTCTAGGCGCAACGGCGACAACCGTCTACCATTGCGGTTCCTCATTTCTAAGAACGCGAGGCGTCCGTACACGTGCATCTGATGCTTGTTGCCTGTAAATCAACCGTGGATGCCGAATCAGTACATGGATATGTTCGTAGGGCAACCCAGCAAGGTGGGCGACTAGCCATCCGGCAGACCCTTTAATGATCGAGGGGAGTGGCGGTGGCCCGCGTGCTTCTGAAGTCACATGTTTCCTGCTGCATTTTACATCCGTGCTCGATGCCAATGCCAGTCAGGCACCAAGTACGTACAGTACATTTCAAAAGAGGGATGTTCATAGATCGTCACTTTGCAGCAGTGAGACCTAGAGCTAATGTACACGGCTACTACCGCCCATCGTAAGATCAATAGATGCTAGTCCGAGCAGAATATGTAGAGGAGGTCAGCAAAGCATGACAACAACATACGTAGCACTTTCCAAGCTTTTCAACTACCGAGATCTACGCCGCTGTCCAGATCTGATCTACTAAGATTTCATCGAAAAAGGGGGTGGCGATCCGAGCACTGCCATCAGGGCCGTGCAAAACCTTTGGTCAAACCAGAGTTCACCATTGCTTGGTCCCTTAAACTAAGCCTCGAGAGAAACACAGTTTCATCTCTTCCCGCTCCACCCCCGCATTCCCCGAGACCAAGCGGCCCCGAATCTAACGTCTTGCGTTCTACATCTCCGTAGGTTGATCCCGCCCTTTCCGGGTTGCTATCCATTGTCTTCACCGGCTCTATGGCGAATACGAAGTCGAATCGACGCATCTAGAACGTTACGTGTCGTATTTCTGTCGTCGGCGGTATAGCAAGTAAAACGTAAGAACCCTTATGTATATGCCCGACAGGCATGAAGAGACTACACGACGGCTTCAACGGATCTCCAATCGACGCAAGTCGAGCCAATATGCCGTGTACTTATTCGAAACTCGATAGTGATCCGCTTTTCTAGTACGTACCAAGCAACCTATTCCAGCCCCCCAGAAATTATGTAGGTGTTGATTTATTCTCCGACGAGATGGAGGCGATCGCAGAGATCATTAGGTAATACATAAAACAGTTGATAATCGAATACGTAGACCCTGCCAAGACATAATCAACTCCACTTGTTTTCTATTTGAGGAATCCTGGCAGTGCCAAGACTATGCATGTTGAGGTTCTTCGCTTATATAGACGTTTATATCACTAGTAAACGGTTTCGAATAATGGGTGGTGAGTCGCGTATGTTGGAAGCTTATAATGGCAGCTTATGCTGAACAGCTAGAGTAAGTAGCCCCTTTGAATTTCCCTTTCTCTTCATTTCCAAGGTATCGATCCAAGCTCAGACATAGGTAGGTAAGTTGAGCTGAAAGACGCAGCCAATTCAACATCAAACTGACGATGATCAAGTAGTGTAGCTTAGGTATTAGACCTCCAGCCCTAGCATTAAAACTGTGGACATACAGTTGGCGCAAGAGCATTCCAGACATGCTGGGCTAGACCACTCCAGCATAGCCCTTGGATAGTACTGTTCCTACAGGGCGATATAAGCTCTCGGATCTAATGGAAGGGTGGAACAAGGAGCTAATCTAGGCCCCGTGTTCAAAGGTCTATGATGTTGCCATCATGGTAATTTTTACCTAATCGTTGCCATGTGGGGCAGTGTCGTCGTACTAAGAGAAGGATGTAGGTACGGGACAGGAAACATGAGGTCTGGTGAGGTGAATGTGATAGGACTGATGCTATCTCAGGGGCTTAATTTGTTGAGAAGTCTTGGCCATACCAATACTTGTTGACTCATCTTTAGCCTAAGGGGGTTATACGTCGTTGCCTGATGAAAGCAGCAAACCAAACTAACGTGCAATAACACGCATTATTGGTATACACCGGGGTGATTCATGTCATCTACCAGATAGTGGGACGTAGGAATACTATCATTAAAGATTCGGGGGTTCATTTGCCGGTATAAAGGGGCTTTTAGATGTTTGTTGACATCCAAAGGGTAGAATATCTAGGTAGGTAAACCGACGATGTGAGATAGCAACAAGGTAGATTAAAACGTAAGGGCCAGCATGTGATATTGGAAATTTCATGCATTTTCTAGAAATACCGATTGCAATTGCCGCCCTTACTGTCTGTGCAAATGTCATTGCTATTACAGATAACGTAGAATATTTCCCTGTAGGCGAATACATTGACTCAAGACAAGGCTGTGCCCAGAATTACCTCAATAGAATGGCAATAGGAAATTTGGCAGTCTTTTTTACTTAGAGTTGTATGCAGTTTCTTGAAAACTTACTGAGGTAGAAAAGCGAGATTAAAGCTCAAGATATAAAAGTCTACATGAATATGAACACCATCGTGTATATTTTGAGCTACTAAAAAATTACCTGGAAACGTATCTACTTAAAAGCCGGCGTGATACGTGATGTTAATTCGAATTGAATTGAATACTTTGAACAATGCACTAGGGATAGGAACTTCGATGGTAATCTGGACTGAGGCAGAATGGCTTATGAACTGCCTTTAGTTAATTGCCGTAGATATATATAGAAACTTACCTCCGGAGAAAATGGCCCCTGATACTTTCATGCCACGTTGGTTATTCTAGGAAGCGCATGCTGATTGATAGCGCTGAGTTGTTGTATTATAGAACCAGAGCAGAATGGCCCGTGTGAATACCGCTACTACTTTTACCTGGTATACTATTCTTCAGCCGATACTTAGGTAAGGCTGTGGTTAATTTCTATCCTTGCTTGCTATCCCACATCTAATCATCAAGCGTCTCCCTTACATATAGTCTACCCCAGCCTCGACCCCTATTTGATTCGCACACTCACTAATTCCTTTAAAATAATGGCAGTGAGAACTATGTTAGATGCAGATATAATTTCCTCCCTGAATTCCATACCTCTATCACACGATAAACTATAGTACTATGTGAAGGGAGTTTACTATCTCAGCCTATGCTCGCTATCCCTCCTTTAGAGTCAATAATTTACCGGCACCTCCCTAGGTTAATCTTACCTATCTGTTAGTTGAACTTCAGACAACCACGACTTTAATAAAATCAATAGACTACATCAAGGAGCGGGGTTTGAGCATTTCATAAATTTCGGTGACAGATGTGAAGAGTTAACCCGTTTGGCGTCCCGGTGAGTATTGCTGCAGGGGATGATCCAACCTCCACCCTTTTATCACCACCCTAGTCCTTTCGAGAATAGGACCCTATAACCAAGGCCCAACAAGAAGCTCATTGTTAAACGCATGCGCATTCTCTTGGCAGGTCTTGACGATTCTCGGGGGATAGGAGCTCATTTGGTCTTTCTGTTTCCGGTCCACCTTTTCGTTTCTAATAGGTGCCTATTACTAAGACAATTTGCTAGAAAGATTTTGCTATGGAACCCGAATGTTGAGATTGATAATAATTCCTGAGAGAACCGGCAATTGGCCCCATCGTTAAAGTTACACGTGGATCAAGTGATGTACCAAACCACATCAATGAGTTTGTCAAGTATCTAATCCTTCCTTCCCCGTACAGAAGTCCAAAAAGGAAGTCGAGCCCTGATAGGTAGCTACGATACGTAAACTTGATGAAGACTGAAGGAGCTATGTAGTAGCTAACTAATGTGTAAATCGTAAGGTGCGGATTTGGACGAGGAAGGTGATACTATGTAGTCGTACTCTAACCTACCTAACGACGTCTCTCAGAGAGTTCCCCAAAATCTTGCAACTTTATTCAACATCGGTTGATAAACTCGCAGAATAATGATACGCTTAGCAAGCTCAAGGTCGGATCTTGAGAAGAGATCACATTGATATAATGTTCAGCGACGATATACACGGCTCGCTATATTTTGAACCGCCACACGATGTCTACAAAGATAAGAGTCGCCGTCGCGGCCGATCAACATCTCGACGTTCGACCTCCAATATCGATTCCACGCCTTTTACGCCGCCGCCAAACCCAGGCAGCTCTTGGATAGCTCTTCCAAGATTGTTTAGGAGGCCTGGTAAATATCTATTGCTTCTAGTCGCTGCCGTCGTATCAATCTCCTTTTGGTACCCCTTTTCAGGGATATCTGTGGGTCGCGTCAGCCGCTTTACAACCCACGAATGCGGCTTTGCTCTCGGCTCCTTGCCGGAATCGCGGACAGGAGAGTTGAGAGATACCTTGGCTGGGTACAAACATCGTGGTGGAAATTGCAATGTTTCCTCCTTAGATCTTCATATACCTTTCGGGTCTATATGCCCGAACAAAGACTCGCTACTGACAGCCATGTCTTCCGGGGGTCGGGTTGGCAAGGATTCCCCATATATGCCTCGGGGTTGCGATATGCAGTGGTTCAGCACGCTGGAAGCATGTGAGATCCTCGGACGGTACTCTCAAGTTATCCTCGTAGGCGATTCTATGCTGAGACACGTCATCGGGGCGCTGAATATCTTGATTCGAGAGGATTTGGGGTATGGCGGAGTCACGGATTGGAATTTCGACGCCGAGGAAAAGTATGGATAAATAATATGCGCCCTCTGGAAGTACCTGGTGACCTCGCCGCTAATGAAACGTCAACAGACGCAAGTGCTTCTGCCATAACCAATTCGACGTTCACGACTGTTCCGTCCAAGGCATTTTCAGTACATCGGATGTTCTTGAGCATGACCCTCTAAGCCTGTTGTGCCCGAAAATGATCCCGGAATGGAACACGGATTTGCGGAGTAGGTCTCGGTGTGATGTCGGCGGACGGACCATGTTGACACATGATGGCAGTTGAGCAAATGGTGCGATACCCTATCCCCGAGGAAGAGCGCCGACGGTTTGAGAAGGCAATTGATCCGAACCCTTCTCAACCGAAAGCCTTCATCTTGGGTCACGGGTTATGGAATAATCTGGACGTGGACCAAGCCGCGAACTGGTTGGATTTGGTGCTCGACACAATTGAGTCGAAAACCGGAGCACGCATGCGACTACGGGGCCGTAGCCCAAGGAAAAATCTACCGATCCTGCTGATGACGCCGAACGCAGCGGGAGAGGCAAAGCCGGATGAGTGGATCGTTAGTCAGGGAAACAAAGCCCTGATCCGGTTCGAGCACGCGATGGCAGTTCAAGCCGCCAAGAGGCGAGTAGACCACCTCGGGACGTGGAATATGAGCATTCAAGCGACTCTATACGACGGCGTGCATATGGACATGCGAGGAAACCTCCTAAAGGCTATGATGGTATTGAACTGGTTGAACTTATTGGACGCTTGAGGATAGACTGTGCCATGGGCCGGCATCTTCGGTTCGTCCTCCCCCACGTAATGGGCGAATAATTGGCAGCTGGGTCTAGATGTATTGGACTTTTGATGGAAAATGAGGAGAAAGGGTGTAGAGATACTCCTTCGAATGCACGCGCGCACACCCGTCATTCTAATGCATAGTTACAAGTACCTTAGGTTAACAAAATTCAAACGACCGGCCCCTGCTGCGCGTTCAACAAGGAACTCTCCGCGATATGCAGGAGATCTAATAGGGCTATATTACTACGACCTAAGCACAGCATGGCTCCCTAAATTTTCCATGCAAGGGGCTGGTCCAATCGCACCGTCTGGAGTCCATCCCGCCCACGTACCTGGCGAATGCCGCCGTCCGAGAGAACCGTTTGCCGCGCCCGCTTACATACCTACCTAGGTACGCTGAGCGCTAGGTAAGGGCTCGGACGGGATATGCCGTGGCATGTGTATGTACCAGATGTATTTAGATATGGTACGTAAGTCGGTAAGTATGTAGGTAGGTATAGGTTAAGTAAGTAAGTGGGTGTGCGCTCGCGAGACGAGCAGTACAGTAGGTACCCCATCTTTATCTGATCCCATGTTTTTCTTAGCTGCGCGTACGATATATGTGCGCCATGCCATGCCATGTACCCGCGTAGGGTAGCATGATTGCATCCTCGAATTTCGGCCGTTCTAGGCGACGTAAGGCATTGGACCCGGGAGGCAGGGCGCCCGATTGGGCGGGACTAGGTATCTAGGTAGTTACCGTGTGTAGGCTAGGTAGGTGGTGAGCAAGTGGGAGGTATTGTGGGAGGACACTTGTTTAGTTCGTGGTATGGATATTTGGTTTGTGATAGATCAGATATCGATGGGGGACTATGCGGGATGAGGATGGGGTTTTGAAAGGGGAGGCTTGGTAAAGAGCCCTGAGCTTTGGTACTTGAGTGTGTTCTTGGTGTGCTGACTCTTTTGAGATAGCATGTCGTTATCGCGATCTGAGACTTCTGTGCGCGGATGTGGGTTTCATGAGGAAGACAGGTAATTAGCTGGATTGCTCGTTATTACCTAACTACGGAGACCTTAGATGGGTGCCGTTGATATAAGCCGAGACTCCCATATCGTGTACGGCATATACACATACTTTCATGAAATTGCTAATATTGTATTTTACTCTGAAAGTCGCACGGCCCCGTACGAAATATGCTCTGAGGACTGACGTATCGCGGATTGAAGTACGTATAGGAAACATAACCATGTTCTCACCAAAGACACTCAGTATCCTTTCAATACTTACGTTTGTCAAGCTAGGAGTTCGACATAAGTGAAGCCTGGGCGCCTTTTTTAAGATCAAGCCCCTATATGCTGGGTTAAGAATAAGGGCGATGGTTAGAGTTAGAGTTGATCGAGTGTGCCTATATGTTGTAACATCTCTGGAAGAGCCGACAAAAACTTGGAACTACAGCTCCAAACTCATTAGGGATATCGTCTCACAGAGCTTTACCCATAGTTCGATCTCGATCTGGCCGTCTAAAGGGTTCTAGTGAACCACGTAGGAGAATCCCAAATCGAATTCGATGGTCTGCAACTGAGTAACATTGATCAGTGTTACTTGGAGTAGATGATAGATGTCTGTGTCTTAATCCGTCGGCGTGGCGAAGATATTATTGGGTATAGATGTCGTTTTAAGATCTCTCTAGATATTCAATCGTGGAGAGCATGTTGTTCGTACATTTGGTGTGTTGATGTCGCAATTGGTTCCCGCCATCATCCTCTGAGAGTTTCACCGGTCTACTTCATCCTTCCGATAACAAGGGATATGAATTAGTGTGCTATAGGATGCCTATAATTATGAGTCAACTAGATGGATTGTAGGTTGTTTCCGTGTTCATTAATAGCTTTAATTGCTGAAGCCGATATTCATTGCCGACCGCATGGTATGTGAACAATCTAACTGAGCACAATATCTTCGCAATTGAGATGGCTTTAATTGAATGAGTGATACTGAAAGCGATAAACCTTCATTGTATCGAATTAGAATAGTATCAGCTAGGAATGAATTGTAAATGGATTGTGTTATATGTTGAACGCGTGGATATAATGCCTTAAGTGTCTAAAAAAAAGGGGTAAAAGGGGTAAACAATCTCGTAGGGACTGCGTACTGCAGCATCATCTCTCACAAAATCATAAGATCAAGCCATTAATATGATTATAACCAATCCACAAGTAATTATTGATGGTATTTAATCTTGGTTTATTTCTAGCAATTGTATGTCAGTTGGAAATATGAATCATCCAAGTGACCTATAAGAGATTACTTACAGTTCATACATGTCGATGGGATGTTAAGGGTTTCTTAAAAAATTACCTGAAGATCTTGTCACAATACATATATCAATCAATTAACTAACAATACTTTAAATTCACCAATTCCCAGATATAAATATATGGTCCCCTTGGTAGCTCGATACAACTCATTGCCCCTTGACTTTCGCACCATAGTCAACATGTCAATTCACCTAGACAATCAGTAGCATAGGAAAAGGAAGGAAACAAAACAGAGGCTAGCAAGTGATGTTCATTTAACGACGCCAACAGGCACGGCGCAGCAGAGGGAGGGCGAATGATAAATCGCCAGGTAATATGAATAGACTGTGCCACACGCCATCACCTGCCCTAACAACATACTTAGGAATGCCTCCATAGTTTCCTATAGATTCCCTGCGCATATCGTCAATCACAATAATACCAAGTGTTCGCAATTACTCAAATATCTTCATTAAATACGAGTTTGAAACTAGAAGTCTTTCAGAATAAAGTATTTGAGATCCATATAAAACCATTTTCTTTTGTTTAAATATGTAAATGTGTTTATAGAGTGAGAATCCTTGGCCTAGATATGGGGCATCTGTAGGTGGGCTATTAGCGCATCCATCGCGCCAACTTCAGCTCGCGATCTAAAAAACGGGGATGGGTAGATCCTTGGCTGAAGCCTACCTAAAGCAAAATCACTTGCTTCGGTATTCAATATGGCAACTTAAACATCACACACCCAATTCCAATTCCATTTCGTGATTAAAACGGGCGCGCGCATTTAGCTAGGGAACATTTAGTCCGGGCGGTACAAGAAGGGGATCTCCAAGATGCCCTCCCGCATCACAGACCTCTTCTCCTCGGGGTACCCCCCGCTCACCTCGCGCTCCCCGCTCCCACCACATCAACTCCCAGCCGCCTACGCGGCCGTAGTCCTAGGCTACTTCCTCGGGCCCGGCGCCCTCCAAACCCTCGGCGTCACATGCGTGCTCCTTTACTTCGGCCTCCTGCGGCCGTTCTTCACCACCGGCGACGTCGTGACCGACTACACCATGTCGAGCTCCTTCTTCGTCCTGTGGATCTCGTACCTGGACCACCGTGGCTCGAAAAGTGCCGGCGGCCCGCGCTACACGGGGAACCCGGATAAGCCGCTGCCGCCGAACGGCGGGGACGCGATGACGCGGGCCCAGAAGCTGAGGTGGGCGGTGAGGCTGGCGAGCACGCCGCGCGGCATCGGCTGGGACTGGCGCGTGAAGAACGTGCCGCCGCATCCGGGGGCGGACCTGGCTCCGCTGTCGTTCGTCTGGACGCAGGTCGTCGAGGTGGCCTGGCGCACGGCGCTGAAAGCCGCTGCGGTGTACGTCATCGGGTTCTGCAAGGTGGTCCAGCTGTCGACGACGACGTCGGCGATGGGTGGCTGGCTCCTCGACGCGACGGTGGCGTGGTGCGGCGCGGTCTGGAGCTGGAATACGATCGGGTCGTCGAACGCGGCGGGTGCTGCTATCACTGTGTTGCTTGGGATCTGCGAGTCGTGGGAGTGGCCGCCTGTGCTCGGCGCGCTGGGAGATGCGTGGAGTGTGAGGCAGGTGTGGAGGTAATGTAACCTCTGGAATCCGAGTTCAAGGGAAGGGCCGGTTGACTAACGGCCTCGGATTATAGTACTTCGTATCATCAGATCATGCGAAGAGTGAGTAGCTCCTAACGTCGAGGCGTGACTACGTACTGTACCAAATCGTATAACTAACTCCCTTTTTCTCATATATAGCCCTTCCAAACCCCTGGACTCCGCCTCGCACGCTTCCTCGGACTGAAGAAAGGCACGTTCGGCTCGCGCTACTTGCAGCTCTACTCCGCCTTCTTTGTCAGTTTCTGCACGCACTGGTTTCAGTCATTTGTCGTCTCGCGCCACGACAACGGCGAGCTCGCCTTCTTCATGCTGCAGCCCGTGATCATCAGCGTAGAGGACTTCCTACAGTGGATTTGGCGCAAGTCCATAGACCCGAAACGGAAGAAGGACCTCACCCGGTTGGAGACCGTGGTAGGCTACGTCTGGACGATCGCGGCCTTTACCTTCACATTGCAACCTGTTATGAGAGGCTGGACTGATATTGGTCTAATTGGGGGAGGTGGTCCAGACGAGAAGGCAGCTCTTCTCTTAGGGCATCAGCATGGCATGGCATACTTTCAAGGGTGGTGATGTGTACTTGGTCATATGTAAATGTTGAATCAGGAGTCAGACCACTTGTATATGTGGTGTAAGGCAGGACGCTTAGGGGAAAGGAGACTAGATACAAGTACAACTAGAAACAGAGTAGAGCTATCGCCAGCTTGGACTGACGTTGAATGATCTACGCTACTTGGTAGGGATTAGGGGATAGAGTTGAGGCGAGCTAATAGACTCTCAGACTCTGCACTAGGACATCTAGTGTCCAATAACGGTATCCACTCTGCCACTACTCGAACCCTTTACCAAACGCCCAATTACGTCATTGATCTGGCGTCGGGATGCTTTACTTACAAGAGATAGTCTGGTTCACGATAGTTGCAGGAAATTAGTATTGAGATATTTCATATTGATGTCAATTGAAAGGAACGTAGGTATTCTGCCTGCCAGGTTACTTATTACAACCAGAAAGGAAAAGAGTTGAAAAGGAGAGTAATCCTAAGCTGGCCATCTTTCCAGGTCCAGAATTTTCTCGTCCTTATGTGCTAATGATCTCAACGCCATACGATTTCTTCTCAGTTAGTTCATCTCAGTCCAGCGAGCCATAACAAGTCTCTTCATCAATCCTCACTAGGAAAATCCGGTGTTGTGTCGAAGCCAGCTGACGTCACGGGCCAACGACGGGGGGTATCATTTCTTAGGCTACATTCTCGGTCTTCTTGTCGTCGAGGACAACGACGCCCTCTTCCACGTATACGGGGGGAGGGACATCATCTTCCTCCACATGCGCCATCAGACCCGACTTCTCATCATGGAGAGCAGCTTCAGCGTGGGAAGCCTTGTGATGATGTCCATGTCTGTGGTGTCGTCGAGAGCTACCTCGGCGAGCAACTAGTCGCCAGAGGAAAACGACGAACGTACCGACCATCATGCCGAGACTATCATTGAATTAGTATATTCATCATAAATACCTTAGAGTGGGGGAATCTTACATGCTAGCAGCGACACCAGCCAGGAGACCGATGGCAACCGGGAGAAGGATGTGCGAGGCAATGTTCTTAAACAATAACCCCCAGTTCCTCTCGCGATGGCTGGGCGGAAGGCTGTCACCACCGTTCATAGGACGAACATTAATGGATCCGTCTTGCTTGGCTTGACCGTTGCCTTTGGCGTGAGCACGATGACCACCGCAGCCCTTATGAAGACGAAGGCTAGCGAGCCTCTGCATAATGATGGCCTTCCACTTGCAAAGCATGGTCGTGCATTCCTCCTGCTTATCCATCGGGTTGTTCTGCTTCGTCTCGGAGTCCGTAGTCTCGATGTCGCCGATCATCAACTGTCCCGTGGGAGTCTTCACAAGCTTGATCTGAACATTCGGAATACCATCAACGAAGACTTCGCCAACCTCTATGATGTCGAGGTCGATCAAAACGAGTTCTAACGAATCCTCAGGGGTGGAGACGGGACGCGTCTGCATGCCGAAGCCAAGGGTTTGTGCTGGTTGTGGCTGGGGACCCTTGTAATGAGTAGTTGGTCGCTTTGTCTGTCGGCGCGGAACATCGGGACGAACGACAGCAGTAAGGCTGTTTCGGAAAGGGTCTGCGTTCGGGTAGAGTTCGAAGCCGTTCAGCATCAAGCGATCGGCGCTACCAGCAGTCTCGATACTGAAGTCAAGCTCCAGATGGCTAGGAATATCATTCACGACCTCGGCCGTCTCATGGTGAGGAATGCGAACCTGGCATCCAGGGCACTTAAGCCTGAGACGCCTGGCATCATTGGCGAAGCCTGTGTCGACAGGAACCGGAAGAGTAGTGGCTAGATGGTTATCGGCTTCGGAGACCTCAGGAGGTAATAATAAGGCGTTAGTCGTGTAAGCCGCCAGGCCCGCGGCGGCAATGATCGATGTCAACTGCATTTTAGGCGTGTTCAAACACAGTAACGGTAGAAGAATAGGTTTAATACTTCATGGAAGCGCAAGGTGCGAAGGTAGGTAGGGCTTTGTAGTTGTTTTGATGAAGGAAAGGAAAGGAATGGTGGGTGGCGTGTTGATGGTTGATTAAAGGTCGACGTTACTACGGACCCTGCGGGACTGGGCGACTTTGGAAGGGACGACCTGTCTCAAACTTACACGGTGCTACACGGTGACAAGGATAACCTGCCAGCTGGAATTGAGTTCCAGACCAATTTGTTGAAGCTAAAAACCAGCTGCAACCACTTGTCAGCGCGAAAGCAGCGGACAGTACAGATCTGCACTAGATACGGTGCTTACCCCCTAAAGGTTCTAGTAGAATCTACATTAGCAATCCGAGCGTGCCGGATTCATCAACAACCCCTACCAACACGTCATGTCACATGACTCAGCTAAAATGATACCTCCATACGCTCGACGTGATCGATCGTGTTGCCTATCTATTATTAGTACCATCGTAACACCTGGTAACTTTGTACAAACGCGAATCAATACGAGAAGCTCACAACTTGCGAGCTGCATAGTACGACGTCCGACTCTTAATTCTACTACCTAAGGTACTCTCGACTATATATATGTTACCTGAGAATTATTGGATTACGTACTTCCATGCTACGCTTACTTGGGTACCTTAAAAACGATACGATACCAATCTTTGACATATTTTATGGTAGATAATTACAACTATGTACCTACCTACGCAGTGAGCTATTGATATTTACGTAGCCCCCAATGCCAATACGTCTCTATCAACGCCTCACGACTTTCAAAGTCGGCCATCTATGAGATCGAGACGCGAGAAATCTGTTCTGCCTGCATCGGAAGCCAATGGTAACTGCGCGGCCCGATATAGATATCCCGTTTCACACACAGGGTTCGACAAAGTCGCATTGTCGCAATCTCCTTCGCAACGGACTCTCATTGGTCACACTTCTAGTAGGTAACAATCTCCAATTCCAGCCTCCGGGATGAGTCAGCAGATACAATGCCCGAGTTCACGGATATTGCTGTCGCCTAGATTCTACTCCCACGGAGTTAACTTCAAATTACAATATTTATCTAATAATTACTTTGAGACTGTTTTAGAATATTAAAAACCCCATTCCTGCGAAGCACTAATGTTGTCTAGTTTTCTACTTGTTTAGGGTGCGAATACCTCTGCATCAGCTGTGAAGTCCCGCTCATCCGGCTCGCCATATTTCTGGTACCAGTCTAGGAGGGCAATAACATCGTTAAAAACCCCTATCCCAAATTGACCTAAAAAAGCTACATAGCGCCATGACCAAGCTTGATTCGCATCCCCCTTAGGTCGGCTATACACTATGTAAGAAGTTGACTCGTTTCCGCTACCACACATGAAGCCGGCGGCAACATCATACTTTTGCTTATGTCCATATGTTTGCTCGAGGATGTACCGTCCCGACCTGCGCCTGTTTTGGGTTCTCTCTGCTAGAGAATCCGCGCTTGCGAGGTTTCTATCGACCCCCTGACCCTTCCAAAAGATCAATTGCTCGGTAGTGTCACGGAGCATGCGCCAGCCGGGGCCCTCTAAACTATCAACGTGCTGGATGAGGGTCCTGAAATCACGCGGCAATATCCACGCTCCGGTGGACATTCGAAACGCGAAAGGCCCTGGAGGATAGCCGACGTATAGACCTCGCGCTTCGCTGCCCGCCATTCCGGATCGGAATGTCTGGAGGCACCGTCGAGGGCTAGCTGAGGCGCGAGAACGTCCCAGTACTTGAGGGCATCAGAAGGGCGCTCAATAGGCGGCTGAGCATTTTCTTCAGGTGCTCCGACCAAGCGAAGTACATAATCCAGACGGGTCTCTTCTTCCTTCTCGGGAGATTCGAAGAGGTCCGGATCGTCTGCGCTGACAGACTCAGCCCGTGGAATAAGTACGGACATGGCGCGGTGATTGGCCCGGCCAATATGCTCGCGGTAGGCGGCGAGAGCGGAAAGGACGTCTGCTTCAGAGGCCATAGTGTATGGTCGCAATAGTATTGAGATGGTACCCGTCGTATAGAGTCGTACGGTAGGTAGTAGAGCAGTTTTTAAGATGAAACTTTTAATATTAGAGGAGTTTCGGTATTTACGAGCGACTGAGTTCGGCTTGTCTGGATAAATTTTTGTTGTGAAGGTTTAAGTATGGGCTCCAAAGTCGTCGCGGTGCAAAAATATTGATACACCCGTCTGTCTTTGCTTTTGCAGATGTATTCCTTAGGAAGTATAGACCTGATTGTACAAAGCAAATCCCCAGGTACGTGGAGTTGCCTACATGTATAGGGGGGTCTATACGTGTTTTCTATCCAGGCTAAGCCCAGTTTCAAACAAGTATGCATTATAATCTTAATTGCTAGGCTATAATTGGTTATTGCTATAACACCAGTCGCAGTAGAAATGATGTATTGGTGTCACCGTTCTTAGTATGTGCTCATAGCTCTTACTTTCGCCGGCGAGCTGGCCGTGTACGACGTTATCCTTGCTATGCTAGTAGTACTTAGGTACCGCGATTAAGCCATCGCCTTCAACATTATTCACTTGATCCTAAACCATGTCTCTCGGCTGTATCACAAGCTGATTTGTCGCTCTCCAGGCTATCGCTAGGTCCGAGTCGACGTCGATTCGCAAACGGATTTGTTATTTTACGTTTTAATTCAACCACACAGGTGACGGATGGGACTTGCAGGATGGATCTGATTTTATCGATCCTTATATTGATTATCATAAGCATACAAAGGTCTAACAATTTTCATAACAAGTTCGTCCTACGCCCCAACGATGTTACACTGGCTAACCACTTGACGATCCCCTCTCACTTGAAAATAACGATATACTTACTTCGTAATTCATCGTCCATTGTATGCGGGTATAGGAAGAATTGTAAGGCGATTACGAGGGGCGGTCGTAGCGACGATGAGGGTGGGAATAGGGGTTAGGGAGAGATCCACCAAATCTGATTAGTCATCAAATAATTTACAAATCACGAAAATACCTACCTAGGTACCTATGGTTCACAGGTATATCCACCGCTTACTAGGGCTCCGATTATACCGCATTCAATTGCTAGTTTGATTTGAGAAGGTTATATGATTTCCTTGTAGCAAGTACGATGCGGTCCTCGGAAACTCTGGGTGCCGTCTGGTAAGAGGCTTGTCTAGACCCGGCTCGTCCATCAGGGATATGCGCTGCATCCGTTCTAATTGAGAGTTCCATTCCGCAACGAACTTCATACCCGTCCTCGCAGAAATGGGAGGCGCAGGGGACCTAAAAGCCGAGTGCAGCGTGTCTTTGATGTCGTTCTGTGACATCAGCGACATCAGCTTGATCGGCTCGTCAGCCATACTAACTAGTTCCTATTGCTAGTTATTTTCCATGTTTAAAACGTTGTGCTTAGCGCTTGCATTGCACACGATATAGCACGCGACGATGCCCAAAATTCCAAGCGGAACGTATGAAACTCGAGTGTCAGGAGCTGGTGTCAGTTGTAGCGAAGTATCAGCTTGTACGTTATATTTCACATAATGGTGACTAAATGTAATCAACTCGGCCTATATACTAGTGCTATCCTCCTACTTGGCATAGCTGCCTAGGTAAGAAGCCTGTGACTTTGTTCGTCCGTAATCTGCAAGGCTTCTTCGGTCAGTTTTCCGCACAAGGCGGTTTAGATTCTCCGTCAGCTTCGAAGCTGCATATTTTACCAATCTCCCTCTATCATTTTTATTATATCGTCTGAGCGGTTGCGTTCTTCGCATTCCTCATCGGTGTCGTACCACCCATCAAGTTCGGAAACATAGTGATAGTCTGGGTGGAATGGGCGAGCGGCATAGGTACGAGCTTCTGCCTCTGTTCTCGTTAACTTGGATCCCCCTATCTCCAGTGGCCCACGTACCTCGTTCTTCAATCTCTCCAAGGCTTTGCGTACGTCTTAGAGACTCCCCTGGTATGCGGTGGAGAAAGATGAGTTCGTCGGTCGGGTATGGATGAACAATGTATAAGTCAGTGATCAGAGACTCTGCATCAAAAACGTACGTAGAAGCTGGAAGCTTGGTTGTGTCGATCTCGTGGACATAAACATCGCCTATTGTTCTATCACGTTGGTTTGCTTAATTACGAGTATGCTGTTCGCAACTGAAGACTGACAGGAAGCAGCTTGGTCGTCAGCAACTCCAATTGAAATGATCTTCAACGGCTTGCTTTAGACCCGACTTGTCAGAGATTGTGCGGTCGCAGTTTTCTGCAACATGGTCTCTAGTGATAGGATCTCGCATAGATCGTGATTCGGAGTCGGTTACCCTCCACAAAGTTTTCGGGAGATAGGTGCATTTGTAAGTGTTGAGATCAAAGACTGCAGCCATGATTTTTATAAGCAGCCGAATATCCAGTATGCTAGAAGATTAGCCTCAGTGATGGCGAACATGGACGCTCTTAAAAGCTTGGCCTTGAGTACAGGAAGATTAATTCTTTTCTCCTCATGCATGGTGAAGTGGCGTCTTCATTGGACCAGTGAAACAGCACTGTTCTAACGTAGTAGTATTATTACGACGCTTACGGTACCTCAACTTCATCGCATGTTGATAACCGGCGAATGAGACAAGATAGGTATATTCCTGGTCGCTTCTTGAGGCGGGAGGTAGCATGATATCCCAGTGCCTCTTCTGCCTCCAGGGATTATATCTCCAGTAAAGCTCTCTGGATTTTTCCAATCTTCCTAGTCCTGGAGCCTGTGATTTTGTATCAAGATCCCAGATATGGACATGCCACCAGGATTATCTGGGTTTCTTAGCCCTCTATTGACTTGTCCCAACCACTCTTAGCCACACGAAAATAAGGGAAAAGATGGCGACCTCCCCTTTCGACTAGGATCCTTCCGTCTTACTGATGGTACTATGACCTACATAGATAGGTACCGACAAGGTCTAACAACAATGTTACTATCTCGCTATACCGGAGGGCTTCAGGGTCTGGTCAACGTACTACAAGTTCAGTGAGTTGCCGCTGTTTAAGGAGTCAAAGAAACTATTTGACGGTGCTATGATGTACAGTGGTAAGTAATGAGGGACTATGGGAGTAATGCGACTAGCAACACTAGCAAAAGGCGCGCGCCTTTCAAGAAATGGGTAGGTAGCCTTGTGGCCGATATTCGATGACGGCTCCTACCCGTTGAAGTCGCAAGCCGGCACCGAAGACGACCCTGACGCCGAAATACGACGAGAGCACATGTCATCCATCACGGAGGTCCATGAGATGCTTCGCTGCCTTCAACTCCTCGGCAAGCCTTTCTACACTGACCAAACCCACCTGACCCAGAAGTGGGACCCGGCCGCGAAGTCCTAGCGCATGTCGCCCCCCCTAAATCCTCACGCCCAATGCGGCCCGTCTATATCATACAGTTCGTTTTCGCTCGTGTATAGCTATAACCTTTTAAGTAGTACCTATTCTGATACAGCCATCCTAGGAGGTTCGAGGACAGCTGTATACTGTCTTGGAGTGAATCTCAGGGGGTCCTGGCTTTCCGAGCGCGATCCCGATCTTGGGTCAAGCCAAAGTATCCGGTGGAAGCAAAAGCGATAGAGGAGACAATTCGACACCACGCCCACACCAGGTTACCATGATCCCAAGTTACCAAGAAGTCGTTGAATCCAAGAAAGGCGACGCCCATTAAGAGGGCGTCGCACTCGGCGTACTGACCGCGCCAATAGAAGTAGTGCATCATGAGACCGAGGAGGATGATGCGTCCCTGGCCAGCTTGCCAAACCGGCCAGGTTTCGGGGACCTCGAAGATATTGCTTGGCAAGCCATAGAGCTCAACGAGGGCACGATTTCCGCGGAGAAGCGCTAAGACCAGCCCGACGCAATTAGCGAACGCGAAATAGAGCGCCGGGATGTGGCGGATGCTGAACCATTTAGAAATGATCCCCGTTCGTACGGGGAAATTTATATGCGTACCTAGATAACGGAGTAGGTACGTAGATTTGAGGAGTTAAAGTAGAAAATAAATGAGACAAGAAGACCTATTTATATTAGTATCCCTCCCTTACAACAGGGCAGTTTGATGCATGAGGTTTGTATCTAGAACCAACAAATCCGGGTGAAATCGAAGGATGTCACATGACCTAGGGGCAATTCGAATACCAAAGCGGGATGCAGTCTGGATGGTACCTAGGTACGTTGACAATCGCCGTTTTTATCCGGTCATCATAACAGCAATAAGCCACATCAAATCCCCTCCCAGTCCTATTTGGCTCTCTAACTACCATTTTCGTTTGCATCATGCTCAAAGGGAAACAGAAACAGCCAAATATGCCCCAATCTTACACTTCGCGTACTAGAGGTCCAAATCCCGCAGACCAAAAGTGCCATGCATTGCACGAGGACGGATCCGAGTGCCGGGCAGCTCTAATCCGGGCTAGACATACTCTCTGCCCATCCCATCACGAGGAGTACAGGAAGCTATACAGGTCTTATAAGGACAAGGAAGAATATTACAACAATGTCAAGACTTGTGAAGTAGGAGATGATCTTAAGAAGATCAAGATTAAGCTAGTTGCCGGGAAGGAGACACTGGAGCTAAGGAACACAGTTAATCATCGGTTTTTCAGCTTATCCAACGACAACCGTGGTCATATTAGGTGGATTCTGAAGATCAAGTCAGAACTTCATAGCCTGGAGCAGAAACTAGTGGATTTGGAAGCCCAAGGATCCGAGAGTTCGCCCTCGCCAGCGCAAAACGATGGAGATGAGGGGACTTTAGTCTTCCGGTCTCGGCTTGATCCCACTGTTCCAATGTCGGCGCTAGAACATCTCGCACCCGATGAGCCAGTCGTCGTCTTGAAAAGGGTTACGAATAAGATGAGAACGGCGACAGTTGAGAAGCTTTACTCCATTGCTCCTTCTCTTAATGACGCCTCCTCCTTCGTTCATAACGATGAGAGCCACGCAGCTAGAGAACTCGATTTGCGGGATACCATCATCCGCTTCGTCTTCCGCGAGCTCCTTTTATACAAGGCCGACGCAGATGTACTCGTTAGGGCTACCTATACCCAAAGTATTGACAAATTCCTACGAGAGTCTCATATAGATGACCTTCAATATTATATCCGGTTCTTTGAGGTCTTTCAAGAGGGACGGCTTGATACACTCCACCTTTTGCGCGATGCTGTTTGCGACTATATTATAGACCCACAGCCCTCATCTACCACCATACTTGGTGCTAAAGTCAATACAGATGACAGTCTTCGAAGAATGGGTACCCGGGGTTGGGATATCTTATGGACGAACTTCTCTGATATTGTGGATTGGTGGAATCTCGAGAGCTTTGCTATCCAGTTCGGGGATTTAGTCGCAGTTAAGACTCTAAGTATGATGCGCAGATACGGACCGAGCGAATCTAGTGATAAGAATGTTCCAACGTGGTATGTACCCGATGAAGATATCTCTCAAGAATGTACACTCGCTATGATGCAAGGATTTGTCGCAGTCACAAAAGGTCTTTGCGAATCTATTGGACCCTCCACCAGTACCGAATACGGCATCACGAAGGAGAGGCAGGCTCGTAGCTACCTTGTGGGAAGAATGGACAAAAATGATGAATTTGCTCAGCAGTTAATACGGGAGTTGAGTGAAAGGGTCGCGGGGCTCCAAGTCCTCGTATATGACCGGGAAAAGAGAGATGTACCTGGCCGTCTTGTCTCACCTCTCCTTGCAGACCAGAACCCTTGGATCACACGTTCTCGATCCGCGTCAAAAAGGGAGGTTCTTGGTTCGCAACTATGGGTGGTTGAGTGGTCCATAGGCAATGTACTCGACGATATTGAGAGTATAAATAGCCTAACGGGTAATGATATGACCAAAGACTACTATGAATTCATCATTATCGACAGAGCCCCAGGAAGGCAATTCGATCTTCTCGATGTAGTGGCCGATGCACTACTCAAGCTAAGAGGCGATCCGCCATACGTTCAAGTTTTTCGTCAGGCCACCCAGAAATATATCCCAGCCGAGGAACAAGCAGCTTATTTCGAAGACGTCGCTAATGTACAAACAAATGAGCTCACACCGGGTTTTCCCCAATATGTAGGCAATCGTATCCGGTGCTGGGACATCCCCAACACAGTTCGCGATATCCTTCGAACCCTCCTGCAGGATAAATGTCGGACTATAACCAAGTACGAGTCTCGAATTATATCTAGAGTTTCGGCAGACCTCGAGTCACACGGAATTATTACAAAGATCCTCGAATACGAGCCACCAGACGTAAGCCCCGTTATTATGCCAGGAATCGACGGGCTTGATGACGTATACTTCCCCTATGATTTGGGGCTCATAAAGGAACAAGCCGAAATCGGGTGCATCGTTGGCTTTGATCCTTTAAAAAACAATCTCTTCGAATTCTCGGCAGCCTACAAGCGCGCTCACCCCAACGCCCTGTTTGCCAAAGGAAGAGTCAACATGCCCTACTGCGCATGGCCTAGTCCTGTTCCTGCCGGACTCGGATTCTCTCATATTAATTTCAGTACACCGGAGGGTCGTATGTATAGGTGGGAGAAGCTTCCGTTTGACATGCCTATGTCTCCTTATGTATGGCAGGTGTTTGCGCATTTGCGGATTCACACTCAGCTGTCGTTCGTACGTATCGTGCAGTCGACGTTCGTTATATGTGCAGATAGCGGTGACAGCGCGTTGGCCAATCTCAGGGCGTTGCTTGCGATAGGCGAGAAGCATGGGTTGACGTTTTCTGTCCCACCACCGTCATTGTGGACAAACGATATCAGGAGTTTGGGCCTTGAGTCATTGTGGGAAGGAACACGTCTTTTCTTACAAACATGAATGCATCTGCTTAAGTATCAGCAGAGCCAGTCCTAAAAACCCTTCTATACCTATGTATAGAAATAAAGCGTAACAAGTTTCGTAACCAATGTCAAGGTATAATTATTAGGTATCTATGCAAAACTAAATAATATATTTACCTATTGACATTTAGTAAATGTACATGCTACATTTTAGCGGGACACCACTCACAAAGGGAGTTCTCCATGGTGGCAGCTCATCACTATCCTAACACAGTTTTACCATAGAGGGTCGTGAGCGGCCTATCCGCAAAGGTCCGGGAGCTACATGCCGAAAAGGGAAAGTTATTCGGAGGTGACCGGCGGCGCACTAAGCGGGGCCAACCCGGATCCGGCCCCACTTACTTACCCTTCAACATATGTACATACACATGGTATTATTGATTGAAGATGAATATTGTGTGAGCTGGTTGGAGAAGTTGCAGTTGGGACTTGACACAAGGAAACTTCCTTACACGTATAAATGTAACTCAGAATAATGTACATGCTTTCACTTGTCTTGGTCTACTACACAAATATATCTGTGTTCATCCAGTATGTAGATTATCAATAGATAGGTACCTATTGGGAAGAGATGAAAGTAGTCCCTCCTTCCTATGTTATAAAGAATCAGTATTGAATAGGAGCTTAGTGAGAAATTTAAAGTTAAATAGAGTTTTTGCTGGCCCACTGGGTCCTCGACAATACTTGCTCGTCCATAGAACTAACCAACCTTAGTGGGCATATAGTTCAAATTAATATTTCAATTCATCACAATTCAAATGAGTGCAGGCCACACCGGGGTGGCCTAGCGGGGCATATTGGAACTGTTCAAATTATTCGTGTCTGATCATGTATGATTTGGAGGGGACCAGCGCTTCACTGCTAGGTCTGGAGGTTCGATTCCTTCAGTGGCCAATCTTCCTTTTTTTTTCTCCCTAACCTCTCTTATAGCTATAATGAGGTCAATATTTTGCTATGATATTGTTTGTATAATTAGAAGAGGCAAAGGCAACATGTATAACAAAACCAATCAATTCTCTATTTGTCGCGAGGTGGAACTAATGGGCTAAGGAATAAGGACGTTGCTGAGCGAAGAGCTCTGACTACTCCTTCCCAGGGGATGCGGTATATATATACAGACTTTTTTTTTGTCTACCTACAGCCAAAGGGCTAACTGCCAACAGGGTGGCCTCGTACAAGCCGATACCCAATCCTCCAGGGCTACTAGCTAATCCTGGCGAGACCTCTGGCTACCAGCTCTCACAAGTGGAGGCTTCTGAAACCATTAGTCATTCAATGTCCACGATGCTTACCTGGATTTGACATGTCAATAACATTGAAATTACATAGTTGACGCGATCTACGATACTTATCTACTCATGTAATCGAAGACTCTAAGATACATATCAAAGTTGTAGTTACGCCTACTTGTCCCAGTCCAAATAGTGCTGAGACTACCTATTCAAGGTGCTAGCTCACTGGTAGATTCATGACGAAGAAAACCGCATCGGTACATATAGCGTATTAATGATGGATAGGTAACTTGGTCTCCTCAACAATGAGATAGATCTGGAGGCACTGGTGAGTGGCAGCAATTTTGGATAATAGTCATGATATTTCTATCATCCAGGGCGCATCCATAAAATGTCATCACCAAGCGCTTTAAGATTATAGAAACTAAACAACATATGGGAATACGCCAGGCCGTTTAATTTATATGGAATTGTCTTCCACATTAACCAGGAGGCAAAGCCCAGACGACTTGGTATATTATGTAGGTGGATACAAGAAGGTCAATCTCATCCATTGGTACTAAGCTAACTAACATGACATTGCTATCCCCTTTATTACATAATGAGTACCTACTATTGGCGACAGCATGCGTGAGCTACCTACCTAAGTATGCAAGGGGATAGCCAGCCGTAAGTACAAGGGGTGATATTAATCCTGGAATACCTTTTCAGTAGATATTTTATTACTCAGGTATCTAAGATGTTACAATGAAGGGTATTTGCAAATTCTTCTAATCACACACTACTTTCCTATAGAATTTCCTGGTTTATACTTGTTTCCCATTATGTGTCGAGCTACAATGCTTTCGGCTTTAAACCTGCTTCGCAGTTTGATGACTAAGCTCCAACACAGGTGATTTACTATTGTGATTGATCTTAGGACTAAGATGAAAGTTTTGTTACAATTGGTCTTTATCTAGAGTACCAATACGTATTAGAACGAAGAACAAATCTACTTGTAACATTTTTAAATATTTGATTCAACTTCTCTATGGCAGAAACAAATGGATACCTTTTACGTTCCCAATTACTCCGTTTTGACTCAGTAACGCCAAGCCAAATGCCCCACTAGAATCCACGGCCAGAGCCCCGCATCGGTTGCCGTCACAGCTGCTGTAAATATTTAGAGCTGGAACTTCATATTCCAACCAAAAGCCCAAACCCACACGAACCAATTCCTCCACCCACAACCACAATGGCGACCGCAACAACAACATCCACCAACGCAGCCTCATACGGGGACTGCGTCGCCGCGCTGCGCACCTCGCTCTCCTTTCTCGAGTCCTCCGTATCCACGCTCGGCACCGGCGTCGCCGACTTCCCGCGCCTGATCAACGTTCTCAAGAGCGTGCGCGTACGTCTCTCCCTCATCCCCTTTTCCTCCCTCCTCATCCTAACACCCGCTTCGCCACATTACTTACTACTTACCACCCACTAACCACCACCCCCCCACCAAACAGCACTACGAGCTAATCCCGCAACCCACCCTCGTCGCGGCCGAAGCCTCGCTGCGCGACGAAATCGGCCCCGCTATAACAACGCTGCTCGACCGCGCCGACTCCCACATCGCGCGCGTCGAGCGCCGCATCGACGCCCTGAAAGCCAAGTCCGAGCTGCAGCAAGGCCGGCTCTTGCGTTCTTCTTCTCCCACACCTCCATCCCGTCCTGTTAGTCGAAACGCGGGCAAACCCGCGAGTGCCAATGCCAGAGGAGGAGGAGGTGGTGGTGGGCGCAGGGCAAGTCTGCCCGGGGACCGGCTCACCGTCGAGACGAAGCTGCGGGCGCGGCAGCGCGAGGCGCTGCAGTATAGCGTCGAGCGTCTTGAGCTGGAGGTCCTGCAGAAGGAGCGGGAGTTGCGGAAGAGGTTGGATGCGGCGTCTTGAGTGGTGGTGGTACGATATAATATGATAACGACGCGATGCGGCGCGTTGAATAATACTATGACGGCTTGTGGGAATACTCTAGTTTATTTGGTTCGGGTGAGGTGGAATATTGGAATCGGTCTACGGGAAGGGGACCTTTGGCCTCTTCTAGAGAAGAGGCCGTCTGATATGTCGGATACTGACTGTGCTATACACATGTTACGACGAATCGAGAAGAACCATAATAAGGTACACCGCGGGTGAACTACGACAGTGGAATTGGACTGCGCTGTTGGATCCGACTCCTCGATCCGCCGTCGTCAAAATGAGCAAGACAAAATCTCAGCTTAAGTTTCGGAGCCTAGGCTCGCAGATGAAATAGCGACGAGGTATCCTCCAATTAACACGACAAAGTGGGAGCTCCCGTTCAAGGACCGGGCTATGAATAAGCACCAATGTTAGGTAGGACTGCTTACAGGAGAGGAATTTGACTCTCGGAATCACCCGCAGATCGGCACAGAGCCGCAGTCCTAGATCTGACAACTTGACGACATATCATTAATGCAGAATTCCATTCTCTTGAGGTCCTGAGATACTTAGGCTTAGATCAAACTCATACAAATACTCTTATCAATCCACCGCGCCGACACATTGTTTTCACGCCATACTCAATCTGACCTAACCCTGACCTAACCTACCAATGTATCCGGAATACTATTCTGTACACCTGCCCACCAAGTATAGTATGTACAACTAATAGACAATACATAGTCACTAGCTAGCTCAGTCATCGCATTGCATTTTTTGATTGGTCTTCTTTCATTGATTGATACCAGAGCATTTACCTATCTCCTGGAATCCGTGAACCAATGGGCGTGACGTTCGTAAATCCCGTTTCGTGACAGAAAAGGCTGCTTGCTCCGCCCTGCTTTGCCCTACTTCGCCGGTTCAAGTAAAAAAACAAGTGTAGGTATGTATGTGACTCGGAAAAGCGGGAGAAAAACAAAGACGCTCTTCCGCAATTCGTGCTGGCAGGGCGACGAAGGGTGGATGGTGAATCTCCGTAAATCACACCGTGGGTATGATGCCGTAGAAAAGAAGCGGTAAGGGGAGAAAAAAAAAAAAAATAATAGACAATAAAGCCAAACCACCATGAAATAATAATAGAAAATAGAGCCTTGTGAAAGTGAAAAAAAGCTACATCCGGCAATGTTGGTAAACCCCCATTTTACTCCAACGCGTATCCGTGGCCCAGTGTTTTGTATACATCCTCTAAAACCCGTTCAAATACAGATTACTCACGCTATTGTCATCGGTGACCACCTAGACAAAGCAATTCAACGTATCATCCCAAAGCCGAATGAATCCAGAGCAAGGAGCCCCCAGCCTAGGAGTCATCTCATAATAATATGAGGTAGTTGCTGGGTGCTATTCCCGTCTCGCCATTTTCTTTTCGTGCTTGCCACCACCGTCCGCTTACATCGCTCACTTCGAGTATTTCGTGCTTGGAAAACGAAATTTCGTTTGCGTCATCCGGGTTCGCTTCATAACTGTAAATGGCCTTCGCCCGATACGGATATTCGGTAGGGGCGGCGATTTCGGGCTCGTTCTGAGCTGGCGATGGTGCCTTGGGAGCACTAGGGAATCCGGGAGTACCACCCGAGTTGCGCGGAGCATTTCCATTAAAACCTCCTACGGGAGATGGGTTTTCGAATCCGTTGAGCTGGGCGGACGTGTACATCTGAGGCGGTTGAACAGAGGTAGAGGTCTCAGGGCGATATCCTCCATTCACGGTTTGCCGGTTGTTCGTCGTTTCTTTGGCTAGAGCGAACGAATCAATGTATGCTCTTGGCACAGCAGACGGCGCAGACCCGAAATAGAAAATCCACACGATCTAGGACATAGTTAGTTAATTGATTCTCCAAGTCGCTGCTAAGCAAGCCATTGCTAATACTATGCATTCGTCGGATCGTATTTTAACTTACGTTGACCATGGATAACAGAATAAAGCCGGCCGCGGCAGCCTCTCTGGCGGCATTAGCATCATAGACGAGCGCGTTGACCGACGAAGTAGTGGCGATAAGACCGCATGCCAGGTAGCCGACAAGGGCGACATGGTAGGTCTGAATACAATCGGATGCAACCACAATAGTTATTCCAATTATCAATGGCAACATGAGGACCAGCGCAAACCACGAATACGGCGGAAAGGGGTCTTTGCGGGTTTCTTGTACCCGAGCAATGATTGAGCCGATGAACGAAATCACCCACGCAAGCTGGCAAGAAAATCTACAGTTAGCACTAGATCTTCTTACAAAGAAGACGATACGACTATAAGGGGTAACGGAGATAATTGATGTTTAGACATACCCCTGCAATAGAAACCGTAGCCAGAGCGAAGGGATCACCGATGATATTGGACATATTGAGGCCTCTACGGCCGTAACTCGCCCGGGAGTGTTCCATTTTGCGCAACGAAGGAGAATGGAGGGAGCCGTACGAGGGCATAAGGAAAGAGGAAAGCTTGACGCTCGGGAAGTTCAATTAACAATTGAAACCTGGTAGGCTGGGATTGGCTACTCGAACATGCGATGCGAGGCGAAATGCGGGTGAGAGCAAATCGCGGGCCTTATGGATCGCCCGTCACGGAAATGTGGCTGTGCCCTGGAAGGTTGCAGAGAACAAGTCTAGTGAGTGGTTTGTTTGGTCTGATTCGTTGAAATGCCAAGAATCGCGACCGATAGCTTGGCAAGAGGCCAGGTGGGATTGTATCTTGTATTTTCTACAAAGGAGCGACTGGAGTTGGAGGGTCGAGGACGATGGGAAAATGTGTTGAAAGGCTGGGCGAACGTTGTACGAGTTAGCAGGCCGCTAATTATGGTCTTTAGTAAGTATAAATGCTACCGCAGACAAGGCCGCGCCGGCTGCAAGTCTAACTGTACGTGCGTGGCTTGGGATGCGACCGCGTACCGTTGCGAAATTAAAATATTCGGGAGGTGGAATATCTTTCTTCTGCGATGCAGGTAAAACAAGAGAATTGAAATCAATTGCGTAAATATGCGATCGAGAGTCCAGTCGTCAAAAATGGTAAAGATATGTCGGATAGGAGGGTGGAGAAAGCCTATAGCAGAAGCGCAGAAGTGTGCAGAAGTCTATTGCCGTTCAACTTCTTGATTGTCGAGGCTGATAATCTTCGATCTGTTGTGATACGATTGATACGGCGACGACGAAAGAGAGGAGGGAATTAATTCGACTACGGCCCCAAATCGAGATTACGGATGAGGTTGTATGTTGAAGGTGGAGAGGCGTGAGGGGACTCGGCCTTATTCCTATTCTCTTCTTTTTCTCTTTCTTGTTTCCTTCTCTTTAATTTTTCCGGAGTGACAAGTATCTCCTTTCTCCTCGCAGTTCCTGACGGCGCGTAAATAATCCTTAGCTGCAGAACACAGAAGACCGGCCACAAAAATGTATGTACGTCGTGAGAAGCGAAGTTGGATCGTTCCACGGTTTGCAAAGCCTGGCTGAGAATCGAACAAAATGATTGACAGTAATAGGCTCGTCTTCGCGATGGCGGATGACGGGGATATACGGAATAGAGGGAAATGGGAAAATAGAGGGGGTAAGAGTGAAAAAAAAGAAGGGACAGGCAAAGGCGTTAGAAGGGAATAGGAAGGGATGGGACCTTGAATGAGATGGGAATGGGAATGGGTGGAAAAAGGTTAAAGGAATCAACCCGAGCAATCAAATCAAATGGAGAAGGGGATACAAGGATGGCATGGGTACCAAGGCATGGGTGGGCTTGGGATGGGAGTGGATCGCGGTTCCCGGTTGGTACCACATGAGAAGAGCAAATTCAAAGTTGAATTTCGAAATGTTCCTGACGAATTCTTGAATAATGGGGGTAGGCTTGTAATAGATGGTAAGAGGATCGGTGAGTCGGTACAAAGAGGATCATGCTATTTCTCTATTAGAGTACAAGTTAGCATAGCTAAATCACGAGACTAGCGCTCCCGACCTCATGTACTTGAGGAAATTACGGATTGTACCATTATTAACACCAATTACGGGAGGCCCCCCCTTTGAACAGACAGGATAGAGTAATCGGGGGCTTACGAAATATCCCTGCCACGGTACCTAGCCGATACCCAATGAAGTTAGAGGATTGACCTTGGTGGACCTGCTTAAGCCTGGCTATCTTCCTTTTTTTTACCCCTGCCTACCCTGCCAGCCTGATTTGGCTTCTTGAATGAACTGGACCTCGATTCAAGATGATTGACTTTGATTGGCTCATAACTTTCCCCGTCTAATGTTGTACACACAACCAAATCTTCTATTGGGCCATGTTCTCTCTTCCTCATTAGCCTTACGTACATACATCCTAATAAACTCAAAGTTCTAGACGTGACGTCCAGGCGTGGTGAATCGTGAATCTGCTTGTTACGCGATATCTCAATATTCCGAATATTGACTGGCAGATGACACCCCGTGAAATACCACAGATTGTCCGCGTGTTTCTGTGACAAGGGCGCTAAGGCAGGAACACGACAAATCGGCAACTCGAACCTAACAGGTAGCGGCAACGGCCTGGAATGTAATGGGCGAATTGACGATGGTTGGGTGATCTGCGATATGGTATGTACGGATGTATGGGGAAGACGGAGTCGCATCTGGCTGTGGTGTTTGAGAATTGGCTGGGATCCAAGACCATGCCAAGGATGAAGGAGACGCAAAGTCTCGGGTTCTTGGTGCTGTCGTGCACGCTGACGGGCTAAAATCTGGTAAACGAGCAGCTGGCATTTCTACCTAGACAGTAGAATGCCTCTTAAGCTTCTTCTCCTGCTACCTATATTAAGGCCAACGAATCTGTAAAAGATCTGTATATCGGTATGATATAGCCGATGAATACATTTATTGCTCTGTGTTAAACACATTCTCTCAAGGCCTAATTCTCACGAACGGAACTGCCCTCCCGCTCAAAGCCGAACTTTTATGCACAGCTATAATACATCATGTGTATCAGGTAATGAAATTTGAAATAGTCTGTCCATCTCCGAAGACATCTGTGCTGTTTCCGAGCTGTCTAATCGCCATTACGTCTAATTAGTTATTGAAGAACTGTGATAGATTCTGATAGGTAGGCCGATGTGAGGTGACGCTATCTAGGGGTAAGCTCGATTGGAGTTTCATATCAACCCGTCAGACTCCCGCGGTTGCAGGGCTCTTGCAATAGAGGGTTGCAATGATGTAAACTATGTAGGTACGGCTCCTACACAGCCAGCCTTATCAATTCTCACTGCAGAAGTCGCACAAATTGGTTATTCCCAAACGTAGATGTTCAAATCTCATCGTGCTTTGCGCCCTCCATACTCTTACCGTGTGTGCCATGTGGCACGTTTCAAATCGGAAGTAGGCCCAGGATCGTCATCGATCAAACATCCGATACATCTGTTGAAGCGCTAAAAATGATGACGATTGATGGTGTTTGGAAACTCAATTCGAAAGTCATAAGTCATATGTTACTCCAAATGGCACTATCGGAGTAAGTGTAAGTGTTGAAGTCAACGAAGTCCCTCAAAGACGAATCGGGTAATGTCGAAATCGAAGCATTGCTGAAGGAATAGCTTATTTCGTCCGCTACCTAACCAACTTGCATCTTTTCGGGAAGGTTAATAAAAAGTTCTACGACGCATACACGTGTACGGCTTGCATTGAATCCTACCCGTGGACGCCTCTAGCTCACCCTACTTTGGTAAATGCATCAAGCGGCACAGACCTCTTCTTCGCAAGTCGAGAAACACCCGGCATCTGAGCCTCAGGTGTGTCTTCCATACTTCCATAACAGGATATATCATGGCCCGGATCGGAGCACGTCTAGATCTCCATTGCGACCTTCCATGCAAGCCATACCTGCTCAGGAAGTGACCTTGGTCGCATCTATCATAACTTTCCGATCCTGTCGCTTGGATGGACTGAAGCACGAATTTCCGTCAAGTCAAGACATACCATAGCATAATCCGCGAAGCCGACGAAGCCGATGAAGTCGTAAGTCTTTCGGTACGAGAGGTAATCAAATGTTGGGTCTAACAGGGTTGCATTAGTTCTAAGACCGGCCGTATCAAGTGAGGCCAGAGAGGCTAGAGCGTACCAAAGCTTGAGACTTTACAATTTGGTTTAGCTTCAGCTTTAACCCCAGGCTGCCCCAGCTACTAGTACCGCGTCGTCACGCACTCGCCACATGTGGCTGTTATAGGTGCCGCGTAGCCGCCGTAATGTGTTCGTAGAGATACTGGAAGGTGGAACAAACAGTTGGAAGTTTAGGTTTAACTCCTACTAGGCCTGTCGATGCCTTCTATTTGTTCCACTTTTGTGACGGGATCCCCATGAATGCGAATGATATTCCAAATACATGAATGAAACCTTAGGAAATTAAGAACTTTCTTGAGAGTTACCTTAATTGCTCAGCCACTGAATAAGATATCAATCGTCTGAATAAAGCATGGTTTACCTATATCACTTAGATACAGTGTAAATCGCAGCATGACTTAACTTCATCTGGCCGGAGATTGGCTAGCTGTTTGTTCCTTTGCCAAGGCATAGCCCGTTTGTGTTAGCCCAAATTCGAGCTACATATAAATGCTATATATGTACATTACACATATATGTAATGTTCACGTGGTCTATGAAGACTGATATCTGAATTCGAAATGTGTTTGTATTCATCGGCATGGAAACCACATGGCATATTAAGGTGATGTGTAATCTAACATGGGCTCAACTGCCGAAGCCGTGATCCGCTAATCCATGATCCCTAACGCGTGCATCTCATATGAGAAGAGCGGAGCTATGCCGCGAGTCCTCAACAAACCCACTTGAATCTCGTGGCACCATCTCTGAATCGGTAAACATGCTTGTAGCAAGTGACCCAAGTCACTGGCCCCAATTTGTGCCTGATCCGGAGATTTCCATCCGGCGGTCAACGACGAAGCCGGGAAGTTTATTCCCAAAACCCCCCCTACCGCGTCAGTATCGTCGTGAATATGCGTAGACTCTTGAAACGTGACTACGTCCGCGCAGACAATAGATGAAGCTATGCAGCACCATCACGGATAAACGACTGACCACGCCGTCGTAGACCTAGCACCAGACTCTCTTTGTAGTTGTCCGTCCAGCATTCTTCAAACCTCACCTCTCACCCTCTCAACCCTCTTCACCACCCTCTCCGCCCTCTCCACGCGCCCCTCGATCCCCGCGACATACTCCGCGTATCTTAGTACCTCCGCCTCATACCACCTGCGCACCAAGCTCTCGCTGCGCGCCCTCAGCTCCGCGATCTCGGCCTCCTGTGCGACTTGCGTGGCCTCCACGCCCCTCATGCGCGGCAGTAGCGCTGCGAGCGCCGCCGTGTGCGCCGGGTCCGGGATGGGCGTGTCTGAGATCGAGGTGAGCGCTGATGCGGTGGCCGGGTAGGAAGCCGCGGCGCTGAGGACGATGGCGCGGAGGGCGTCGGTGGAGAGGGAGGAGGGGGGTTCTGACGGGGGCGGCGGCTGGAAGAGGGTTGGTTGGGATTTATCTGGGAGTGGTTAGCTAAGTTGCTTGAAGAGTTGAAAGTTTATGGACATCTGAGAAAGTAGGTGGGAAATAGGTAGTGGTGGATAGTATATGGAGTGGGAGGTGGAAAAGAGGGGACGTACAGAGTTTGAGAAGTTCGGCGTACACGCGCACTCGTTGGAGAAGGATGTTGAATCTGTGCTCGAGTTCTTGCATGCTTCGAATTGCTGACGTTTTGGGTTGCTGAACCGTGTGGCCGTATAGTACATGTTCAAGGCGTAGGAGTCGCGCTTCGAGAAGAGATATGGTGGAGAGGGTCGTGTTGTCTAGAGTTGAATCCATGGTGTCCATTCTGGATAACTTATGGGCGATGAGCCAGTGGGTATCAATTATGAGGTCACAGTAACAGTAGAGATTCTAATATGCAGAGAGGATTCAAGTGTAGTTATAACCGGCGAATAGTGTCTTGCAATTGAGTTGTCTATAGGTATTCTGTTGGTATTGTTGCATTGAAAGATAAAAGATAAGGCTGAGCTAATGCCGAGCTCCCCGTTTTTTAAAAGCTCCAGAACCCCTGTTCATAAAACTAACCGGGAATAGCCTAACCCGTGTTGATAAACTCAATTGATTGGTCAGAAACAGATTGCCAGCAAGACGCCAATCTTTTTACGTCTCCAGATATGGGAAGATCGGGGTGGCTTTGACGACAACTGTCAGCTGAATTACAACATATGTCAATACCGCTATTTTAACCAACATCATCAGGCAGACGCATATAGGTAGCAAAAGTATCGTCGCCTTGCTGCCATGTACAATAACCGACCTCCAATTCTGCATCAGACCATCGAAAACGAAGCCTAAGACCATCATCGACTCTACCTAGGGAGAGGAGAACTAAGGTGTTCGGACGAGTTACACGCGTACAGACGCGAGGGGACGTTACTTGAGGACCGAATCAACTTGTGTTACCGATCAAACGATTCGATACTGAGACACCAATCTTCAGCGCAGCGGATTGCTGCCGAAGGAAAGAGTTGTTGAACTAATAGAGTGCCTCCTGGGCTATTATGCCGAATTACTCGACTATTTCTGGAGAGGGCTCCGCCTCGGCTGGCGATATGACAAGGTTCGTATCTTGAGTATCTGCTATTAGGAACCCCGTGTTAGATATAAATCCCTAGTAGCTAACTATGATCCCAATCCACAGGCAAAAAAGAGTTCGCGGCCGCCAAAAGGAGGGCGGAGGAGGACAGGCGACCATGATCAGTAGCGTCGTCAACCTCCTCAACACTATTATCGGTGCCGGCACGTTAGCGATGCCCTCTGCTATGTCACACTTTGGAATGACGATTGGAATTATTGTTATTCTGTGGTCGGGTTTCACGTCTGCTTTCGGTCTATATCTTCAATCTCGATGTGCGCGATATCTCGACCGCGGGTCTTCATCTTTTTTCGCCCTATCACAAATGACCTATCCGAATGCCGCCGTAATATTTGATGCCGCGATAGCGATTAAGTGCTTTGGAGTCGGCGTATCGTACATGATTATTATCGGAGACTTGATGCCGGGTGTCGTGGAAGGTTTTGACAGCAGAACCGCTGAAATACCCTTCCTAATGGACCGCAATTTCTGGATCACGGCCTTTATGCTCGTCATTATCCCATTAAGTTTCTTAAGGCGCCTGGATTCTCTGAAATATACCAGTCTGATTGCTCTTGTTGCTATTGGATATTTAATCGTGCTAGTTGTCTATCACTTCGCTGCAGATCCTCTTGCACCTAGAGATAAGATTCGTTTCGTTTCCTGGGGAGGCCCCGTGGAAGCGCTGGCTAGTCTACCCGTCGTCATATTTGCATACACCTGCCACCAGAATATGTTTTCGATTCTTAACGAGTTATCGAACAATTCTCCCGGAAGGTAAGGGTCCCTAATGCAAATAATGCATGGTTTTATACTAACAAAAATCGCAGTGTCATGGGTGTCATTGCTTCAAGTATCGGCTCTGCCGCTGGTATCTATGTTCTAGTCGCGATTACCGGCTACCTAACCTTCGGCAACGATGTGATTGGCAACATCGTATCGATGTGTACGTGACCAGGCACCCTTAATTCTCCGCCTACAGAAAAGCTAACAAAATCCGCTCTAGACCCCGCATCCATTGCTTCGACGATTGCCAAGGCAGCTATTGTGGTTCTTGTCACATTCTCTATCCCTCTGCAGGTACATCCGTGCCGAGCATCTGTAGACGCAGTTCTCAAGTGGCGACCCAAGGACGTATCTCGCCCACAAGCGCGGACAAACTCCCCTGGAGGCCGACCACTTCTCTCTAGTTCTGCGCCTTCAAGATCCGATCATGGACCGGCCGCGCCCATGTCAGATTTACGCTTTGCCATTCTTACCACCATAATTCTAATTCTAGCATATGGTGTGTCCCTGACTGTCGTCTCCCTGGAACGGGTGCTTGCCTATGTAGGATCTACAGGAAGCACTAGTATCAGCTTCATCCTGCCAGGTCTGTTCTACTACAAGATTTCTGATCCGAACTCGATCCACCATCAACGCCTGGCGAAAGAGGACGACGATGCCATGTCACCTCCTAACTCCGAAGATGAGGAAGAAGCCGTGGACGACGGTCTTCTAGGAAGAAGCGTGGAAAGCATTCGCAGTGCAGCTAGCGGCTCAAGCGCTAGGAACATTAAGTCGCCATGGCGCTGGCGGCGGAGGTGGAGGTGGGATATGGAGCATCTCGATCATGAGTTCCTGAGAGGTGCGGCACTGGCCCTGGCTATATATGGCCTATGTGTCATGGCTGTGTGCTTAGCGATGAACTTGGTCGGTACTGTCGTGGCGCATTAAGCTGTAGTCACTTATCACCTATTACCCCCTGGTCAAGGTTGGATGGGCCGGTATAAGATTATCAACATTATCAATTAGGACAGCGCATTTCTAAGGAAGCATAAGGGGTCTGCATTTCACTCGCTCGGTTTCCTTTTTACATGATTGGGAGTTCTGGGTCGTCATTCTTGTACATAATTAGGTATTGATATTCCCAGCATGAAGTGGTGTTGGGTTTGCTGAAATTGTACATGATCATACTGGATCCTAATTCCCTATCTCACAAATTTCGTAGCTGAAGATTGTTTTGATTGTCTATGCTGCTGTTTATAAAATCAAACAGCAAACTGTAATTCTGATCATCGCAAACCTTTGCCCCTTTATATGTTTCCAAGAATTGTAAGGGGAAGTAGTCTCCACTTATAAGGCATGGCAGCAGCTGCGTGGCGGGGTCAGCGGGATATTGCCCCGCCATAAAAGTAAAAAAAGTTGAACTGATTATCAAGCAAGCTTGGAAATATCGACCTCCTTCCAACTTACATGTTCAAAAAACGATTTCCCGAAGAGGTTCATAACTTTATAAGCTTGAATGTTGTGCCCTTAATTTCCCCTCTTCATACAACATCTCACTTTTTCGTTTTGTATTACTTTGATACCCAGCTACACAACCGTTAGCCCCTCCATGATGTCTGCTCCTCACCAGGACGACCTAGACGATGCGCCCGAGCTCCTAGACGCCGACGATGCGCTCGAGGAGATTGTGGATGGCGAGGGCGACATAGCAATGGACTCAGACGACGAAGAACCCGAAGAGATAACCCTACATAACGACAGCATAGCCTACTTCGACGCGCACAAAGACTCCGTCTTCGCCATCGCCCAGCACCCGACCCAACCCTCGCTAATCGCGACCGGCGGCAGCGAGGGCGAAGGCGACGACGCCCCGGGGAAGGGATACGTTTTCGACACGAGCCCCGTCGTCGGCCGGCCCGTGCTCCCCGCGAGCTACAACGCGGACCCGTCCGCGCCGCAGCAGAAGAGCACGGAGCTGAAACCCCTGTTCACCATCGACGGGCACAGCGACTCCATCAACGCGCTCGCCTTCACGCTGCCGAACGGCGAGTTTTTGGTGTCGGCCGGCCTGGACGGGAGACTGCGCGCGTACCAGCTGTCCGTCGACGCGCACAATAAGCCGACCTTCGCGTTCCTGGCCGAGGCCCAGGAGGTGCCCGAGGTGAACTGGGTGGCGCCGTGCCCGTCGGCGAAGGTGCCGAACACGGTCGCGCTGGGCGCGAGCGACGGGTCCGTCTGGGTGTACACGATCGACGCGGCGGACGCGGCGAACCCGCTGCAGATCGCGCAGAGCTACTTCCTGCACACGGCGGCGTGCACGGCGGGGGCGTGGTCGCCCGACGGCACGTTCCTGGTGACGGTGTCGGAGGACAGCTCGCTGTACGTGTGGGATGTGTGGGGCGAGGCGGCGGCCAAGAACCTCGTCAACGACAACGGGCAGACGGTGGTCTCGCTCACGGGCGAGGACCAGCGGTTCGGCGTCGAGGGCGGCCTGTACTCGGTGGCCGTGGACCCCAAGTCGACGTTCGTCGCGGTCGGCGGCGCGGGCGGCGTCGTCAAGATCGTCGGCTTGCCAAGGCTGGGCGCGGACGCGCAGCCCGTGAATAGCAAGCAGAGCAAGACGAAGGCGAAGGGCAGCGAGGCGGGCAGCGCGCAAGGGGGCACGATATTGGCGGATTTGCATACGCAGTCCGACGGTATAGAGACGCTGAGCTTTTCGCCGAAGCAGAGCTTGCTCGCGGCCGGGAGCGTCGACGGGAGTATAGCCGTGTACGATACCGCGCGCCGGTTCGCGGTGCGGAGGCATATCAAGGAGGCGCATGAGGAGTTCAGCGTGGTTAAGGTAGAGTTTGTGGCTGGTCTGGGCGACGGATGGGTGCTGACGAGTTGTGGTATGGATGGTGTGGTTAGGAGGTGGGATGTTAGGGGTGCGGCGAGTTCGAGCGAGAGCAGTCTGGTGAAGGAGTGGAGAGGTCATAGGGGAGATGGAGAGGGTGGCGGTGTGCTGGGATTTGTGGAGGGGACGACGGGGGAGCGGATCGTGACGGCGGGGGATGATGGTGTTGTGTTGGTGTTTGAAGCTTAAATCAGGGGGTAAAGAGGAATGCGTGGTTGATAATGTGACTGAGAATACCAAAAAGATTTACGCCGGGTTATAAGTTGGCGGCGGCTTTGCTTTGGCTGAGATGGGATATGCTACTGCATTATAATGGGAGCACTTCTTCTCCCATTATACTTGAGGATAGAAAGGCAATGATCATGAACGACTAATAAAGTTTTATCATCAATGCTATTCTTGCATTACACAAGATGTATGGGTAACTCCAATCACAGTATAATGAAGGGCTAAGTAAGTTTTCCTTGCTGGTGAGTCTTCTCTGGATGAGTTGTTTATAACTGTAGGGGCACGGATGGCAACGGAAAGGGGTAAACATGGTATTAATACTAGTAGTCTGACACGAGGAAGGGGGCTAGAAGGAGAGATTCTATGTAAGAATTGCACAGCTTCTTATGACTACCTATAGTTATGACAAATGTGACAAAGCAATTGTCATGGCAGACTCATAGATACCTAGGTAGTTGCCCCCCTTTAATCAGTCAAGGCTAAACAGCTGTAACATATAAGATAAGTGAACACAGATAATTTACTCGTATAATGTTCCCGGTGATTTTCTTGTATTATGGATGTGTTGTTCCTATGTTCACCTTGGCTATGAGAATATTGCTTACCTATTTCGATGAAAATAAACTTCCAAATAGACCTTTAGCGTAACTTCTATTCTAGCGATCGTTCCTGTGTCTTGAATTGACAATTATATGAACTTTAGTACACATCTTGACGTCATTACCCTCCGTATAAACGTCAATATACTCAATCAGTATTCTCCATATAGCCCTTCAACTGCCAGTCGCTGCCAGTCAGGGAGTAGGAGGTGAAATACAGTTTCCATAACCTGGTGGGCAGACTCAGACTAGGTATAAATCCAAGAGCATGAATGGTACATAATTTTACACCTGTTCTTGACCTATGCCAATTGCACCAGACAACTCTGACCCATAACCTGGGTCCGCGGTCGACCTTTTGCGGATTTTCAGTTGTATTTTGTACCTCCTAAACCCTAACTGGCGATAACTGCCGATTAAAGATATACCATTACCATCCTATGGCAATGTGAATCTACGTGATGTAATCCACATAGCCATTATCAAACTGTGTTGGCCTCCAAATATCGACTCTAGTGGTTTATGGGTGGTGAATTGACATTATCGAACATGCGATATATACCTAGTATATTATATATCTAATGTCATATGTCAGCCATCGCCGCTCATAGTCCACCCCCTATTATTGGCGACCTCTTTACTACCAATACATGACTCATGCTTCAAGAGTCATCCATCAGACAGTATCATAGTTTACAGACCTCACCTGACATCATTGATCCAACTGCTTACCAGGGCTACCCACGATCTCGACTTGGGCTCTGCAACTAATACTATATAATCCCAGCTTCCCTTCCCTCCTTTTTTTCGAAATTTTTCTTTTCGTCCGTTTCTTGACCACAGATGATGGTGAAGATCATCAACTTCGATTCGAAATAATTAATACCTTCGAGCTTATCGTCATTAAAACTGGTTCCGCTCTAAGAGCATCTATTATTCGCCTTCCCATCTTATGTCTGATAATTATTTTTCAGGAGTATCATCAAACACATCGTGCTAATATATCATGATAGGTATCGACTACTGTCATGTGATATTACACCTCCTCACCAACCGCCATGCTAAGTCTTGGCACTGCGGATAGGGGAATTAACAGAGTATATTCGCATTATAAAATACCTATGTATGTACGAACTGACTACGATCACCCTTCGTAGGAGAGACGCTGACAATAGGAAGGGTCTGCCTATGGACGAAAGCCTTGGGCTTCGTTCCGTTGAACGTCATCGTCGGGTTCAGGCAAATCATTCACTTCCTGAGGAGTCTCCCGATCTTAGTCCAAAATACAGTGTGGTTTTGACAAGAGTCAAATATCAAACATACACAATGGTACGTAATAACTCAAATATCAAGGATCTACGCGTCTACAGCATGATAATAATTGCAACAGTCGCCGACATTGCGGCGTGGAAGCCGAGCTCACAAACAGCGTTCATCCTCTACGTGAGGAGTTCTAAACCACTCTCGCATGCCCAGGGAACGTTAACCCATGTACCACACCAGACACACAAATCAATTAGTTCTTTGAACCCACAGGCGGTGACGTGGCCAAGATGCGACGTTGGCCGCGGGCGGCTCTTAGTACGCGAAACCTCAGCCTCACCCCCTCCAGGAGGGTCCTCGGGGAGCCCTATGCACAATCAATACGCGTGTTGGTGCACTTGCCCAGCTGCCGACTAAGCTGGTTTGCGCCTCGTGAATATCAATACGTGCCTGGTGCACCTACATAGATAGCTAACCAGCTAGGTCGCATACCACAGACCTAATGACGTCTGAGAGCTCTATGCGCAGTTATTACGCGCTGGCTGCACCTAGATCGCTAGCTAGGTCAAACCTTGCGAAATTTCACACGTTCGTCGTCGCGGGCCGTTCAGTGCAGCGTATGACCTATCTGGTGACCTAATAATCTGCGCCGTTTATTTATCGACGTTCGATGCAAACCTAAGTGGAAAAACATTTCTCGTTCGTTCGACCTCCTAATCGCCAGCTACTTACTTGGGGACTAATTTCCCTATTATATCACAACATCAGCAACCTCTATCCATTCTGCTGGCCTGTCGTTGAATTTTGAGCCCAGCTCAAAGCACGTCGAGGAGGAGTTCATTGCTTGTTTCGCTCTGGGGCAAGTTGCCGGCAGGTCTCCCTGGGCCGAACCCTGGTCTCACCGGAAGCCTATGGGTCCTCTGATAGATTAGACCTCTTACACGGCGATGTGGAGGACAATAACATTGGTTCCCGGTGTATCAAAACCAGCTTTCTACGGTGTTCGTCGTTTGAGAGAAGTTGCCGGGAGACCAACTTAAACGACTGGGATAATTTTAAGGGTCGTCGAGCTACGAATTTATCCGCAGCGGCTGCGCTTGGTTACGTTACGAATGAGGGAAGGTGGTCGACGGTGGTAGGAATGGTGTCTTGACAGACCTCGGGCACACATTTCTGACACGAAGAAGCGTCGTGCCCGATTCTTTGTCCGTCGACACATACTTTATAGAAGCAAGCACGATTGATGATGCCCGTGAGGCTTGAGAAATGGGGATTTTAATATGCCAAGCCGACTTTGTCAAGCTATGACGGTTAGCCATGGCGTAGTCGGCGTCTGGAGTTATAGGATACAAAGTCTACCTACCTACTGGGCTAAAGACATGTACTCAATCCCTTAGGAGAACTGGATCTTCGTGGTATGGATTGACATCTCTTACCGATAATAGTTGGACTACAACGTAGTTCGCAATACAGATAATTAGATCCGTCATGACTACTACGTACGAGCCGTCTAATTGACCAGTACTACTCGTAACCTGGCGTTTAGTGGTACGGGTTCTCTTGTGAAACAGCGACGTTGCTTGTTTGAAACTATCTCTCGCTACTTGGAATACGTAATAAATACTGGCCTTGAACATGTTTCACGATGTTTCGAAGGCGTGGCAGCCCTTCTCGAGAAGGGTCTTCTTCCGATGTCGATATTTCTGCTGCTACTAGTAAACCAAGTTACGTCAAGTCAAGGTAGCTAGAGCTTGGACTACATCTTGGTTATTGCTAAAAGAATACCTATCTATGGATCTGCTGGTGTAAACCATAGAGATTACTATGCGGTTCCCGATGTAAAGCGGTTACGTACCAACACGACTGAGACAAAGTCACGATCGATCTGTCCGTACTTAGTAATTCTAAACTAGAACTTTATACTGTTTCTGTTTTCCCTATTATTCTTTGTTTATGTCAGGTTTACCTTTTATATAATGCAAGGTATAAACAGACCGAATGCAGGTATATAGGTATGTATATACAAATGAGAGCGGCAGAACATCATCACATCGCTCTCCTATAATATATTTCCATCGAAACCCCCTATGTAAAACGCCTCGCGACAGATCCAACAAAACTGCCGGGTATAAATAAATCCGCAATGATTCTCTTTCTCTATCATGATTCGCAGTTTCCATGACACTATAAACGCCGGGCATCCGCTTTTTTTCTTTATAATTATGCCATTTCTCAAACAACAATGCCAGTCAGTCTTGGTGATGATGATTATGACCCGTCGGCCCACACGAAACCCATGCCGCCTATTAATCCGCTAAGCACGAGAGCGGTTAATATACCGGCGCCGGCTTTGTCGGCCGTCGTAATGGCCCTCGGTTGAGCGATCTTGTCGTCGTCGTTCGAACCCGCGTTGACGTTGCCCTTAGACGAGCCTCCGTTTGTCGAGGTGTATGGGGTGGGTGCTCCGTCAACCAGGGTAGCTATGATAGCATTGAGCGCATTCATCTGCTCGCCCACGCCGTACTCGCCGTCGAAAGTGCTTCCCTGAAGCCAGCTGAACCCGCACGCCGTTCCGTCCGGACCCTTGTACTCCGTCCCTGCGGGTCCGGAGCATTGCTCGCCGACGGCCTTGGCGTTCGATTTTATCAAGGGCATGATAGAATCGTAGGTGAAGGAGGCGAGCTGCGTAGTTAGAGCCATCCAGCGAATCAGGTGGCCCTTGAAAGACTGTTGGTCCACGTTGCACTTGGCTGATGTTTTCTCACAGCTCGGCTCCCACATGACGCCGTTGTCGAAGAAGATAGTTGAGGTGGAGTTGACTAATCCTTCGATGCGTGCCTTCCAGGTCTCCGAGCCATTGGTGAAGTTGTACATGTTAGCAGCGCCGTGCATGAATAAGCCGGCGTTATAAGTGAACTGGGCCGCGTTGATCGCGGTACAGTTGTCGCTACCCGCATTCCCGGCGCCGTCTAGTACGTTGTAGTTCGAGTTGATGAAGCCGACCCCTTGCTCCCATTCGAAAATCTTAGTCGCCCAGTCGGCATACGTTTGGTTGCCGGTGTACCGAGCTAGACGCGACGCGACGTTGAAGAAACATCCGTTGGAGACGGAATTCTTGTAATTGTAGCCGTTGTTGAATGTGAAAATCTGCCAGCGCATTCCGCCGCCGCAGGTGTCTGGTTCCCATCGGCTGACGTACTCGTTGTACACAGCTTGCGCCAATGCAAGCCACTGTGGTTGACCAGAAGGCGGATTCGTGAAGTTCAGCTCAGCAGCGGTCATCGCCGCCATAGCCCAGAAACCTTGATCGTCGTTTCCCTCAGACTTCGTTTGGTTTGAAGGCATGAAGTCGGCATCGTCTCCTACCTGGTGTTCGAGAGCCTGAAGTGTGATGTCGTTATATGTCGAGTCGCCTGTGAAAGCCCAGTACTCTATTAAGAGTCCGAACATGGCACCCGCTTCCCACCCTGTGGGCTATGTTAGCTAGGGGACAGATTGCCCGGTCATCTAAGTTAGACGCACAGTAGTATGGGTCAGGCAAGTTTCCGGGAACATCGCCAGTGTTGTTTCCTATTACTCAAGTTAATCCGACTAGCTCTCGTTATATTCTGAGCTGCAGTTGAGTGAGTTACCTGTGTAGTACTTGACGAGACCATACGCGACCGTACTGGCAGCCGACTTGATGGAGGCTGGAGCATGTTAGCATCATCATCGCGTGTTTTACTGTATTAATATCTTACAGTCGCTTGTCCAGTCAACATCAATAGCTGACACTGAGCTGAGCAGCAAGCTCGAGGCGCCGAGTAGAACTGGTGAGAAATGCATGGCGCCCTGATTCTAGACTGACTGGAAATCTAGATTCTAGGTTGAAGGATGGGAAAGTCCGGATGAACTGGACTTGAGGGTTGTTGACATGAGAAAATAGCAGAGTAAGCGGGAATTTGTCAAGGACCGATAAGCTAAAAACATGTCCTAAACGATCGACTCGCTAATATGTCCACTGTATTTTTACGATTCTTCATGGACTTCCATAGGCTTGTGGATCCAGCTCCGCCCGATTCTCGTGGGTAAATTACGATTGTGTCGTGAGGGACTCCACCTAGTTATGTTAATGGACATGGCTTGTGTGGACCTGAAACTGGCGAATATAAAGGCAGTGGGCCGCCCGGGCTGATGATAAAAGGTAGTATTCATTAAAGGACTCTTTGTTCGTCTTGCCAGTTCTGTCAGTTCTAGACGAGAGACGCTGGACCAACCGAGCAGGCGACTCTATTACTCGCTATTACTCGTCACCAGACACCAATTTCAATAGCTCGTAAGTGGTAGGGGGTGGCTTACGTACCCTCCGCTAGATCACATTGAGCGGTGTTGTTGCATTTGTCGAATTGGAGTCAAGGGTTCCGTATCGCTGGTTTCAAAGAGAAGACGAATTAGCGTGATGGATCCACCGTTGACGCCATGCCTACGCGTACCCAGTTTCCAGCCCATCCTTATTCCCACAAGTTCCCATAAGTGCCCATAAATTTCCATAAACAGTCTCCAACGAAATGGGCCGGGTCTGTGCAACGTTTTTACGCCGTTCAAGCAAGCTTTCCCATCTAGGGGCCTAGCTTCGACCCGCTGAGAGGCTGAGCTTGGCTGCATGATCATCAGGGGAATCGTAGAACAAGCTTTTTCTGCCGTCACGCAGAGCCTTATTTCCCTGGGCTGAGGCGCGTTTTGTGGATTTCGCTGTTCGTCTCGCGCGTGCGGGCCGAACAGGGGTGAATATCTCGGTTGCACAACAGCATACGAGAAGAGAAATTAAAAAAATATGCATGAAGTTGGTAGGACGTGTGTAGTCGCATATAATACCGCCGTGGTCCGTCATCAAACTTGATCCCTTTAACTCTGCGATTCGAAGGACTTGAAACGTTCTGGACATTGTGATATTTTCGATTCAATCCCAAATCGTGACGGGTTAAGATTATGGACCACTAAATTGACCTGCGACCGCTCTCGGTGCTTTTTCACCGTTCCTTTTTTTTTTTTTTACTCCATATAAAATGGCTGTTCAATCATTTGGTTTCGAATTAACACAGGGTATTACCGAGATTTCCGCGAATACGGCCGGACATGTTAATGAAAAGCAAACCTGATAAAATCGATTTACAGTATTGATATATTTGATAATCTTCCGGAGGTATTGAGGATGATAGTATTGAAGGAGGGTAAAATGCCAGCAGAAGTTGTATTTGGCAAAGTGTAAATCCGCGCAGTCCGAACTGGCGGCTAGAGTTGACTTGAGCTCCGTATTACGTAAGAGTCTTTCAATTATCTGTAAGGGGTACAAGGAAGGCAAGTGCGATTTACAGTGACACAGATTAGCATGTCTGGTGCTTTTCAAACTAAAAACCCCTTTTTTACCATGATAAGACATACATTATCCACGAATGCCCACCTAACGAAAACCTCATCTATACCTATGCACTCTTGAGCCGCGCGCCATCTCCCCGGAGAAAGGAAGCCTACATAGGTAGGCTTTCCACCCCGTCTCCCTACGTTGAAATTACTCCGTACCTATTCTAACCGCCTGCGAACTCGAATCACCCCTTGATTAGACAACTCAGAGACCTGAAGCACTCCTGAGTTGCCGAGATCCGGTCTACTACGTGTGCACAGCTTCCAGAACCCAATACGCCATCCAATCAACGGAGATTAGCGCGATTTCTCGCGCCTATTTACGCGCCTCTCTTGTGCGTTACCTCATAATCTGCTCGATCTCAATGTAACCCTAGGTACCAATAACCTACGGGGTCGTACCCAGTGTCATCCATGTGTCCTAGACAAACTATGAAGTTTGATCCCCCTTTCGAGTACACAATTCTGGGTTGCCTGGCCCTGAGTTCTGACCATAACACTTCCCTCTTTCAAGGTTGCTGCTTAGCTGTACTTCTCATGGTAATCCTCTTAAACTCCTGAGACTGCCAATAATGGTGACAAATAGTAGTATCAGGTGTGGTAAGACTTTCCATTTGGATATTCCTATGACATCAACTTCGTTTCTTACCCAGTACTACTACTTTAATAGAGTCTCAGTGGTTATGTGCAGATGGATTGGTGTGTTTCTCATTACAAGTTAACTGTACCAAGCCGTGCTGGCCGCACAACTCTAGATATGCGGCGCACCTGGTCTTTCTCCTGACAGACTAGCAAATAGTTCGTGAGGTGGTATGCGCTGCATACCAGTTGTCGAAGGGTTGGGCTCTGTACGAGATATCCCGCGCAGCGAAACCCTATTGATCCAAGAACCTATCGCATGCGACCCTCTGAACATCCTGAAAGGTCGCTGGCTAAGATTCAAGAATCTGGGGTAGGCGTCACGTTCTATTGCTTGAAAGACATGATCTTTTGCCATATCGAACACTTCGGGATCGTCTCTTCCAAACTCCTCTATTTGGGTCACAATGTCCCGTTGGATAGATTCTGGAAGTAGTATTTGCCTTTCCGCGCCTGAAAGTATGAAGGTGTACATGATCCTTTCTGCACTTGAGCGAATGTGTTCTCTCGATATAATTAGCTCTCCTTCATATTTCTCTGAGCTGGATGGTAATGCTGGAAGCGAATCCGTGTCTGGTATGATCGTTACGCGCAGTTCACGTACGTAATCTCGACAGAGAGAAGTATGCTGTACGATGTCAAGCCTGTAGACGGGTCAGGAAAAGTAGTCAAGTAAAGCACTTCGGAATACGACTGACCAAAAGTCTAAGTAATCTGCAGATCTTTGTATATCCCTCATATACAGGTAGAATTCAAATAGCGTATACGGCCTCTTGGTAGGTCTGCTGAGGATTTCGTACAATGTCGGCAACCGTCCCGAAACCATCGGGTTAAACTCTAACTTATACTCAGCCCCTAAACGACTTTGACGTACGGAAGCTGGCTGTGAATATCTATCCTTGGACCTGTGACTAAAAAGCGCCTTAAATAAGCTAACCAGGTACTAGAAATATACTATTTGGAGGGTTATTACTTACGTAATGACTGTATCTGAGCATGTTTCTCGAATAAATGAAGTTAAACGTTCTAAATCTTCACTCGATTCTCCAGTAGTTGAATGAGAGTTACCGTCGAGAACCTCACTGTTATTGTACATAGGGGCTGTACCAGTAGATGATTGAATTGCAGAAGTAGTACTATCTCGATGATTCGATATTTGCCCCGTCCGTACCTCAAAAGATTCGTTCGATGCTACTGGAATTAGCTGCTTAGTAGAATCGGCGTCGACCTCTCGAGCACCTAAATTAGGTAGATGGAGCTCCGGCGGTAATTTTGGTCCTTCCAGTAGTTTTCCTTTTGTCTGCATGCCAATAATAGCAGACTCGGAAGCAACGTCACTTAGTTGTTGATAGTCAGATGCCTCCAATGTTTCCGGAATTGGGTGCGCATGAATTTCGTCGTGCTGAGATTTAATCAAGTTTCGGATGAACGCCCTTCGATATAGAGTTGTGTTGATGAGGAGGTCATCGATCCCACAAGCCTGCTCGTCATACTCGAGTTCTCGGGAATCTGTTGCATTTCTGTCAATTTCTCCGTGGAAAGAATCCTGGAGAGACACTGAGTCGCTAGAAATTTTGTCCACGAGTCTTTTCGTCTTAGGACTACTCAGGATTTCTGTTGCCCGTGAAACATTTTCACTTGGCCTTGTTAGTTGGGATCATTAATGCGAGGTAATATATCTTACTACTCAAATGCAGTGCACAATATACGCACTCCACGAGCTAATCCCATAATAGCCTGGCTAACTTCGTCCATCTGAGGATTCTTCGATAAAGCCTGTAGCTTCGCTTTCAAAGTAGACCTGTCTGCATCTGGAGTTGTGTGGAGTTTCATAGCACTCATGTGTTTGTTGAGAATATAGAATGTAAGATGACAGCTCTCAAGAACAGCATTGTATTCTTCTAGGACATCCTCTTGAAAGATCTCTTCGAGTGAAGCAGTTTCTACTTTAGAGATGACTTTCTTGATCTGGATGAGCCCTAGACGAATTGCTGAACATTCAGTACTGAGGGATGTAATAAACAGAATAGGAATCCTCGCTTTAGCAGCATATCGTTGACATTCACGTAGCATATCAGCTGCGCGGTTCACTGCTCCAAGGACACTAGACATCAAAGTGAGTGGATCTAGACATGAATTACTTGCCAATGAAATAGTTTCGATGCTGAATGCAACTTATTCGTATCCAGAAGCTAAGTAATATTCAATCCATTTATCAGTTCAAACATGGTTACTAACTAGATGAGAGATGGGTTCTAGTACTAACTTCCTTGAGTTAACATAGTCTCCGCGCACTTTTTGACTTGGCTGAACACTGCCTGAGACGTGATATATCGTAGTGTAGCTGCGGCGATTTCTTTTCTTCTCTCCGATTCTTGCAAACCAATAGCTTCTAGTCCCCGTATGACATTGAAACGGTAGTAGTGGCCATTATCATAAAGGCTTGCCTTATCTTGATGAAATCGCTCTGCAGTCTCTTCGCTCTCGGTGGACAGTGCAACTAAGGCCTTCCCCATATCAAGCACGCCATCTTGAAATGGCTTAAGGCTTGGAACTCCCGTGCCGATAGATATTAGACACAGGATCTTGTCTTGCAATGGCCCATCACTCCAGATATCTTGAGCCTGATTCCACACAGAGTAGATAGGGTTATTTTCTCCTAGTGCTCCGTCGATGAACTCTTCTCCGAATGGCCCAATAGTAATCGGATCAAAGAAAGACGGCGCAGCAGAAGTAGCCCGACAAGCCTCCCATATTTTAACCGAGTCAAGTAGATGGCTGCCCCCTCGCGGAGATCGATAACTCGTAAGACATACCTTGTCGGCACTGGTACTCCTTGTACAGACGAAACTATACATAAGTATTTAGTTACTAATCGGAATATTGACATGGCTTATGTGGCCGTTGGTTCTTACACTTTGCAGGGAGCGTCGGCTTCGTCTTTGAGCAGCGTATCTTCGCCAAAGCCTTGCTGGGCTAATATTTTCTTCACGGCTTTCTCCAGCTCTCTAGAATCGAACCGGCCTTGAATGTTTCCCCGACGGTTTACTCGATGTCTCCTCTTCTTGAAAACATCGCTAGAAAGTTGTGTATATGCTGTGATGCAATCGCCTACTGTCATTCTCAACCGGCCAAGCATTATGGCAATGAGCCTAGGTAGTCAGAAAATTAAATAAATCCAACAATATGCAGAGTATCACTGACCCTCCTGTGCTTGTGCCTCCTATCATATGGAAATGGTCGCAAGGCTTCGGCGGGGCATCAGGATTGAGGGTTTCCATGAGGTGCTGGAAAACCATGAGTGATGAAAGGCCGCGAACTCCGACTCCATCGAGAGCTAAGAGGCGTAGCCATGGCTTCCTCGTGGATAGTTCATTGGCTTTACCCTTTGCTTTGCTCATGATGCTGATCTTTAGGTAGGATTACTTAAACGTGGTTGTTCCCGTGCGGCGTTGGGCAGCTAACCAGCCATAGAGAATATAGGTACCTATATACTTGGTTACAGATGATTTCCTGGGTTATTTAACAAATATACAACGAAAACCTGGACATTAAATCATGGGGTACCTACTGGCAGATTGAGGTTTGTACCAAATTCATCGCCGATCGTGAGGCAAAATCAGGAAAGGGCCAGCTCAGCTTGAATTCCAAAATGGAGGACGTTGGGAAAATAGCTACCTACCTAGATAGGTACCTTATATATATGTTGATTATTAAGTGCTTTTCCTCCAGTCATATTGATTAACGACAGTGAGGATCATGCATTGTACCGGTCGCGGGGTAGTAAGGAGCGCCATTTGTCTTATTTACATCTCATCTACGCCAAGGCATTCAGAAATCAACAAGAGGAAGCTTGGGTTCGCCGGTAGCTGCCTTCGTATGTTAGACGCAAGTTTCTAAGAACTGTGTTGACAAAAAAGTCCTATCCGAAAACACTATGACGAATGCCGCGCATATTGCGCCGTGGTGTATTATTAAATGAGTCCCCAAAGGTGATTACAATGTCTTCATTACCATCTGCTTCAACTTCCAATAGGATGACTTTGACTGATTCAGCAGTAAGCCTAAAGAAATGAAATGAATAGGACACAATCAAGAATTATGTTCAGATAGTCAATCCAACAGATATTGCACCCTTCTCGATACATGGTTCGATGCCGATTTTTAGCAGATGATAGATGGTAATAGTTAGCGGCCTGCATACTATATGCCAATGAAAATAACAGGGCGGAGAGAAGTAGGCATAGCTAGCCTTATGCTTGATTTACTTGTACTATTGCCCTGAGTTTACGAAGGGTTATTGTGGCGTTGATTTTTTTCTTTCTTTTAAAAAGTCCTTTGAAAAATTACTTAAATAAGCAGTTTTGAGATAGCGGCTTATCGAAGAAGTTTAATTAATTTAAACCTTTAATTTAATAAAGCTTTAAATGTATTTAATTTAAATCCGGTTTATATAATTTAAATTTTAATAAAATTTTAATAAATTAATTAATTTAATTTAAAAAAATTTTAATAAATTTTTTTATATAAATTTTAATTAATTATAAAAAATAAATTAATAAATTTAAATTAATAAATTTTTAAAAAATTATTTTATATAAATATTAATTAAATATATTATTTTTTTTAATAAATTTAAATTAATAAATTTTTAATAAATTATTTTATATAATTATTAATTAAATATATTTTTTTTTAATAAAATAAATATTTTAAAAAATATATTTATATAAAAATAATTTTTAATTTTTAATTAA